GGGGGATGGTGCAGGGGTGTAAGTTGATGGTGATGGGTACAGATGAGTAAGGGGTAGTTGCAGATGTGTAAGTGTTAGGTGCAGGTGTGTAGGCGGTATGGTTACAGATGTTTAGGTGGTAGGAGCAGACGAGTAAGTGGTACCTGCAGATGTGAAGGTGACAGAGAAAGGTATATAGAGAGTAGAAGCAGATGTGCAGGTCGTATAGTACAAGTGCGCAGGTATGTAGGTGGTAGATACATGTGCTCAGGTATGTAGGTGGTAGGTCCATATGCACAGGTGTGCTGGTGGGATGTGTAGGTGTGCAGGTGGGATACGCAGTCTTTGCATGCAATCATTCCTCACAAGTGACAAAAGCTTCTAACATCCATTGCTAACCTACTCCTAAAAGAGGTCTACATAGCCTCATAACTACTTCAGTGTACTCTAGTCTCATCCTCTCGCTGGATAAAGAGGATGCTGACACTAGAGCATCGCAGGGCGGCGGTAAGAGTCATCTCCCACTGTCTTGTGTGAGTGGATGTTCGTCAATTGATTGACTGATAAAGATTAAGCCACCCAAGAGGTGGCACGGGCATGAATAGCCCGTAAAGCTCGTTAAGTCTCGGTATAACGTCCACAGGTCAGACGGAGGACGCTCAAGCTACCCTCAAGTGGGCGACGGATTTTCTTCTGAAGTGTCACACTGGACCCTACGAGTTTTATGGCCAGGTAAAGGAGAATTGTCATGTTAATTTATATAAGAAACTCGTAATACAATTTTGTTGTTTTGTAATTATACGGACAGGTGATGTACAGCCGTGAATAAATCACGTAGTTAAAATAAAAAAGCAAATAACACGTCGAAATTCGTGTAAAAATGACGTGAATGTTTTTGAGAATACTTTTGATAATACAATTGAGAAATGAGAATACTTTTGAGAATGTTTTTTCAGAACATTTATAGTTTCAGTCCGTCCTGGTCCTTCATCAAGTCTATACTTGCCAAGGTCTTCAACGGACAAAATGTTTGATGTTAACACATTATAAAAGATGTGGTGTGATGTTGAGTGTGGCTCCGCGCCTCATTGGTGAGTGTCGGGATTGTGTGACAGTGTTCTTCTTCTCCTCCTCCTGGCCAGGTCGGTGACGGCCACATCGACCACAACTACTGGGGCCGGCCCGAGGAGATGACCATGCAGCGACCCTCCTTCAAGATCGACTACGATCATCCCGGTAAGTGTGTGCGTCTGTCAACGCCATTTAATGACAAAATACTTTGACCCGAATTGGTCTAAACTGTTGCAAAGTAGAAGACATAGAACTTCAGTTGAATATGGAATTAGGTCTACTTTATGCAAAGGTGGCTTAAGTTGCATCTAAGTTGATCTTTTTCCCACTACTCAAGATGGCCAATGTTGATTGATACTTACTGTTCCTTGTTGCAGGCTCGGAGCTCGCGGGCGAGGCAGCAGCCGCCCTCGCCGCCGCCTCCATCGTTTTCAAGGTAAACTGCTGATCAGAGAAAATTGTCTTTCTCAGCTATTGCTACAGCCTACCCCACACACACGCATAAACACACACACTTGATCCCCTTCTTCACAACATAGCATAAGGAAAGCCTCTCACAATCTACCTTCTTCTCAGCATAGTGAATATCTCTCACACTCTCCTTTCCTCACAGTATGGTGAGGACCTCTCTCACACCTCTCACACACTCTCCCTGGCAGGAGGCCGACCCAGACTACTCGGCGGAGGTGCTCGCGGCTGCCAAAGAACTCTACACTTTCGGAGACGAGAGAAGGGAGACTTACCACGTGTCTATCCCAGAGGTCCAGGACTTTTATTGGTATGTATCAGAGGTGTGTGGTCGGATGTGGTGGTGTGCCACGGTTGACCAATCAGAGAGTACCCATGGCGTGACGTAGTGTGAAGTTAGCGCCCGAGGTTCTTGGCGAAAACGTCGCCCGCTATGTGTTCTGGCATATTTTCTATGTTCCCTGGTGATCTTTGCTCTCCCTCCACAGGTCCTGGAGCGGGTACGGAGACGAGCTGGCGTGGGGCGCCCTCTGGCTCTACCGCGCCACTCTCGACGACTTCTACCTGGCCCGCGCCAAGGATCACTGGGTGGAGTTCAGCCTGCAGGAGATGCCGAGGGAGTTCTCCTGGGACTACAAGACGTTGGGCGTCTATGTAAGTCCGCCACACCTCCAGACAACACTTGAGAATTATGTGTGTGTGTCTTTTGAGAATGAGAGGGAGATTGACGTTTGTTCTCAATGTCGGTGTTTACTTATATGTATCTTGCACGACCGTCATTACAACACATTGATTGCGTACCTCAATTACTTGTATTTTAAATTATTATATAAGATATATTGGTCATATTTCATCATCTTGGGTACACTCACGCCAGAAAAATAAGAAAGGTAATTTAAGGATATAATATTTTAACTATTTGTTTATATATTACAACACGAAGCATGGAAGTATTCCCTTCTTCACACACCATAAATTGTAGGTGTGAAGGTCTTATAACTACTGACTGCACCTTCCTGATCACCAGTGGACCCTTCCTGGTCCACACTCTGGGCCTCACCCGCTCCAAAATCACCAAATTCTAGCATAATTCAGATTTTTATTAAAATGAAGTGATGAGCAGTGTTGGTATTCGTGCCCCACAGGCTCTGTTCGCCACGCTGGACGAGGACCCGCTCTACAGAGAGACGCTGCTGGAGGGGCTCAACCACTTCCAGAACGACTTCCCGTACACTCCTGGCGGCCTGGCCTTCATACAGTTCTGGGGATCCAACAGACATGCCGCAAACGTCGCCTTCATCTCCCTCCTGGTAATGCTCTTGTCCCTGGTGCGTTATACGCACCCACGACGCACGCCCTCCTACCATGCGTATTGTCATTAACCGTTCACCGTATGCGTAGCGTATTCGAGGACCCAGCCATGCGCTATACTCCATGTATTCCAGATTTCATCCGAGTTTTGTGTTATCCAGGATTAGTCCACCACACTCACTGGGGCACTTCCATCTGGCATTTGAAATGTCTTTAACGAATACATGTCCGAGAGAACATACCACATACTATACTCGAAGTATGTTATATATCTGGATGCCGGAGGCTTAATTTTTGAGTGATACAACAATCCATTGAAAAAAGTAATGACTTAAATAAGATGCATTAAATTAATGTTTGAATATGTGCTACCCTCTTTCTCTTTTTGTGCCCCCTGTCTCGGTTCTTGTGTTCCTCACTCTATCACTCTCTCTCTCTCTCTCTCTCTCTCTCTCTCTCTCTCTCTCTCTCTCTCTCTCTCTCTCTCTCCTCTCTCTCTCTCTCTCTCTCTCTCTCTCTCCTCTCTCTCTCTCTTCTCTCTCTCTCTATCTATCTCTCTCTCTCTCTCTCTCTCTCTCTCTCTCTCTCTCTCTCTCTCTCTCTCTCTCTCTCTCTCTCTCTCTCTCTCTCTCTCTCTCTCTCTCTCTCTCTGTCTCTCTCTCTCTCTCTCTCTCTCTCTCTCTCTCTCTCTCTCTCTCTCTCTCTCTCTCTCTCTCTCTCTCTCTCTCTCTCTCTCTCTCTCTCTCTCTCTCTCTGTCTCTCTCTCTCTCTCTCTCTCTCTCTCTCTCTCTCTCTCTCTCTCTCTCTCTCTCTCTCTCTCTCTCTCTCTCTCTCTCTCTCTCTCTCTCTCTGTCTCTCTCTCTCTCTCTCTCTCTCTCTCTCTCTCTCTCTCTCTCTCTCTCTCTCTCTCTCTCTCTCTCTCTCTCTCTCTCTCTCTCTCTCTCTCTCTCTCTCTCTCTCTCTCTCTCTCTCTCTTTCAGAGGTTCTTGAGAACTCTCTTTCTTGTCTCACACGTTCCATCCTTCAGGCAGCTAAACTGGGCATCGACGCTGAGGTGAACTACGAGTGGGGAGCCAGCCAGATCGACTACATGCTCGGGGACACCGGACGCTCCTTCGTGGTTGGCTACGGAGAGAACTCCCCAGAGCGGGTCCACCATGCTGCAGCGTGAGTCCGGCTTCCTCTTCCTCGTTGTTTCCTCTCTTAAAATGCACAAGTTGTCCCTCTTAAATCCATTTTGACTTGTTTCTCTATATTCTTTTTTCAATGTTTACAGATTGTTTAGGAAGATTCGTGTCTTCGACATAAATTGTAAAAGGGGTTTACGGTGCCCTTAAGTCGTGCCCTCACCTGACTAACAGCTCTTGGGAATTCTCAAGACCTTTCTCCTGACTTAGCTGACTGTTGATGCTTCCTCAGGTCCTGCCCTGACCTGCCGGAGGTGTGTGACCCTGACTGGGCCATGATGCAGCCGGGCCCTAACCCTCAGACGGTGTGGGGCGCCCTGGCTGGCGGCCCTAACCAGGTCAGCGCTAATTATAGTTTTATTTTATTCATATTGTTGTTATTGTGATCTTATTGTTATTATTGGCAATTATTAATATTATTATTATTGAGAAAATCAGTAGGAGCCGTGAGGAGGATTCGAACCTATGTTCCGGGTGCTCCCAAGCACACACACCCCATCCATACAACCCCACCCACCCATCCTGGTCTAACACGAAGTCCATCCACCAGACCGACTGGTTCTTGGACGACCGCGAGGACTACGTTCACAACGAAGTAGCCCTGGACTACAATGCTGGATACACTGCCGCCCTCGCCGCCTTGGTCGAGCTCAGTTCCGCAGTTTAAGGCTCTGACAGCACTGCAGGAGCTGAAGGAGTCCGTCGAAGTCACTCCCAACGATACACTTCTTCAGGCTTTGAAGGCGCTCTTTGTCACCACTCCCAACGATACACTTCTTCAGGAAGTGTATCGTTGTACTGTGTCATCGACAGCTCTTGCAAGAACACTTCTCTAGGAGCTTGAAGAAGCGTCACGTAAGCAAACAAGCGGATATACAAGAAGCTTAATTATAACTATGAGGTCGTCTCGTATTATTATCGTTAATAATTAAAAACGTTTTTGAAGCCGCTAAAAATATTTTTAATGCCTTTCTGACAATTTGTTGCTATATTGGAACCTTCTTTACATTCCAACAAGATCTAAACATGCGTAATAATAATGGAATTAACAGATATCAGCTGGACAATGATGAAATTGCCCAAATAATCAGACTGAGCATACCTTTTATATGTAATCTACCTGTCAATGATGTCCCTCTTCATCTGTACCTCACTACTCAAGTATTATACTCCCCCGTCACCAAGAAAGGTAGTGAGAGTCTTACTTTTCTTAAAGCTGTCACACTTAAGACAATTGGGAGTTCTTCCCTTTATCGTGTTCCTAAATCCTTGTCCTCATATGCCTTCTAAATGATATATAGTCTTAATGGTTTAGCACTTTCTCCCGATAATTACTTTACCTTGAGCCAATTGTCTCCTATCAAAGGCCTGAGACCTCACGAACATTGTGTTTACACTGTTGCCTCAGCCCAGTCGTCAACAGTCCGACATTGCCGCATGTTGTACGTTCTACAGAAGTAACACTTGTTCACAGACTATCAGTGTCAGGTTAGACAACCTGCTGGACTATACACAAAGAGACTATACACAAAAGCTGGACTATACATAACGCTGCACTAAAACTAGCTATACATACACTAAAAAAAACACAGGAGGGGGGGGGGGAATAATTTTGTTATTCAATGTCTGGGTTTCGATCACTTGAAAGCTCCTGCAAGATCGACAGCTAGAACCTCATAAGAGCAATTCCAAATAACCTGCTCAAAGGACAGACTAAATGGTTTAGAATCTCTTCAGTATGGAAACCATATCACAAAAAAATATAACCCATTATGATGACGCAGATATAGCAGCCAAATTGACATGTAACAAGCATGACATTTAACTAGACCACGTTATCCCTATAGATCTATTGTTGTTAAGACTATATTGTTAGTAGCATCGTTAATGAATTCACACTCGGGGCCCTTGAGGGCATCTTAATAATGCACCTAAAGTTTGCCAGTGGAGGCTACTGATGACATAGCCCTGTATGACTATCCTTCTTGCGAGGTGCGGGCATGTAGTGTTACCCACTCTTTGTTGCAACTGTTGGGGATACGAGAGTCCTCCCTTCCCTTCCCTTGCAAGCTCTTTTAACCAGCTAAACCATCATGTGGCTAGTTCCCCCTCAAGTGACGCCACAAGCGGTCTGCCCGAATCGCTATACGCGTGTTAGTGGCTTTGCAAAGAATGTAAAAATACACATCTTATGTAATCTCGCAGACCCGTTGTACCGTCTTGTAAATAAATGTTATTATTAATATTATTATCAACGACGTCGCCGGCCAATGAATGGTAGGGGTGGACGGAGGGGACGTCACGTGGACGGGGGGTGGCAAGGACAGACGGCACCAGCCTGACCCAGGTGTAGGCACGCCAGAGCTGGACAGTCCCTCACTGTAGAGCTGTTTGGGCTAGTTACTGTACTTACTTGCTGCAGCCTTAAGGTATGTCTCTGTTACCTTACAGTTTTCACACGTCCAGTAGCGGGCATCTGTTTACTGGTAAATATGTTCATAGTCTTACCGTAATTACTCCTTTTGAGTGCACTTTAGTTATGTCTCTCGTCGTTTAGCTTCAGTTCCAAGTCTCGTGACAGTAAATTCTTGAGTTTCAGTCGCGTTTTCAGGCCTCAGCGGTGCCCTTGACGCTATGTAGGCGAAGTATGTAATAGTTAGTATGTTCTATTATATATATGTATATATTATATTATATAAATATGTAATAGCTCTATACTATCTATTACATACTTTAGTGGTTTTTAGTGGCGATAATGATGCCTCTTTCAGGGTTATGTTGATGAGCCTTATAGGTGTTTTTTCTGTTCAGTTACGAGTCAAGTACAGGAAATAATACAAATATGTAACACTGAGATATATTGTAATTAATAAATGGAAAAAAAATATTGCACAAATCCCAAAAGAAGTCAAGAACAATGCAAGAACAGTTTAAGACAATGTAAGAACCTGCTATAAAATGACGAGGAAATAATACTGGCTCCAATAGTACAGACATATACTATATTACCAAAGTATACAGTGGTATAACGTGAGAAGGTATATTAAGCAAGTAAATATTAACAGTTCATTTATATTTTATTCTAACATTGCTTAACTACTTTTGTAAGGTTATATTAACAACTTTGATAATTCAAGACGCAGATATTAGACTAAAACTGTTATTTTAACTGTCATATTTAACAGTACAATAATAATATGGGTCATTGTTCATGGGCACCAGGATCACCATACAAGTCATGGCATAGTGGGCACCAGGATCACCATACAAGTCATGGCATAGTGGGCACCAGGATCACCATACAAGTCATGGCATAGTGGGCACCAGGATCACCATACCAGTGGTGGGTATTACGCCTAGTGCCCACTAGTGGTGCCTGTGGTGGGTAGTATGCTCAGTGCTGTTAGCTTGGACGGTGGTGGAAACAGTGGTGGTGGTAGCTACGACGGTCGTACGAAAGATGATGGTAACTACGACTACGAACTAGCTACGACGGTGGTAGTAAGGGAGGTAGTAACTACGACGAGAGTGGTAGCGGAAACTCTGGATGTTCAGACATTCTGTAACGAAACATTTGATATTGTCAACCAGTCACAAACTAGAATCAAATTAGCTGATTGGTTGAACCTGACAACCAATCACATATGACAGTCAAAATATTTTGGTTGTCTGGACAAAGATATCAACCAATTATAATGTGTTACATGTAATACGTTGCAGATCAATCAACAAAAATATGCACAGAGAAGCAAATGGAGAACGACAGATAAATTGAGATAGAAAAAGATGCCAATAATCATGAACTATTAGGAGACAGAGAGACAAAGAGATAAATAGAGGTATTGGTAGAGAGATATATTGACAGAGACAGAGTTGAACAATGGTATTCAAATACAGAGAGAGTCGACGGCAATACACAGAATGCCGAGCTCAAAACAGACAGACGCAGAGGTAAACAGGACAGGCCGAGGCATATATAGAAGCATACAGGTCGAGAGACAGATACACAGACAGGCTGACACAAATACAGTCCTGACCAGACGGGGCGCTGACACTCACCCGGGAAAGTTAGCGAAGGTGAAGGATCGTCCGGACTCTCCCTTATCCAAGGATGTCAGGGCGGCCATCTCCATCTCCGACAGCGTGAAGCTCCACACCTGCCGATGTAGACATGTCAAAACATGGCGGGGGAAGGGGGGGAACACATGATATAACTCTCTCTCTCTCTCTCTCTCTCTCTCTCTCTCTCTCTCTCTCTCTCTCTCTCTCTCTCTCTCTCTCTCTCTCTCTCTCTCTCTCTCTCTCTCTCTCTCTCTCTCTCTCTCTCTCTCTCTCTCTCTCTCTCTCACCTCGCCGTTGACCTTAATGCGCTGGGGGTTGGTGGATTTCGGGATGGCAACGATTCCTTGCTGGATGAGGAAGCGGATGAGGACCTGGGCCGTGGAGACCCCGTGTCGTTCAGCCACCAGCCTCACCACGGGGTCGTCCAAGAGTCGTGGCAGCGTGTCCATCCTGACGGAGAAAAACACATGTATCTTGTGACTCTTCCCTTTGTGCTTGCGGGGGTTGAGCTTGGCTCTTTGGTCCCGCCTCTCAACCGTCAATCAACTGGTGTGCAGATTCCTGAGCCTACTGGGCTCCATAGGATGCGTATGTTCGTGTATTCTTGTGATTAGGGCTTGGCTTCTACACAACGCTAGTGGTGGGCCCAGTGAGTGTGTGCGTGTAATTACCTGAGTGTAATTACAGGATGAGAGCTACGCTCGTGGTGTCCCGTCTTCCCAGTACTCTTAGTCGTATAACGCTTTGAAACTACTGACGGTTTTGGCCTCCACCACCTTCTCCCCTAACTTGTTCCAACCGTCTACCACAAAAATGTGAATGACATTGGGCTGGACCTGGAGACCATCAGGACTCCGGCAATCGTCCCCACAACCTGGCCAATCACATATGACAAAAAAAATAGTGTGTGTGTGTGTGTGTGTGTGTGTAACCTAACCTATCCTAACATGACAAAGCAAACATGACTTGGCGTAACCAAAACTGAGTTGGCCTAACCAAATGTGTGTTTGCATAACCAAACCTGAGTTAGCATAGCCTAACGTAACATAAAATAGCAGAGCATGTCATAAGATAGCGTGGCATAGTGTGTGTGTGTGTGATACCATTTATCAGTTGGCTCCCCTAACTTTTTGAAAGTCATCACGTTATCACCTCAAATCTTATCTTGATTACATTGTTCATTATTGAAATTAGTTTATTTCTATCAACTCAAGATTACGACCGAGTCTATCAGCTAAGGTGACCGAGGGCCAGATTCACGAAAACACTTACGCAAGCACTTACGAACGTGTATATCTTTCCTCAATCTTTGACGGCTTTGGTTACATTTATTAAACAGTTTACAAACATGAAAACTTCCCATTCAACTGTTGTTATTGTTATAAACAGACTCCTGGTGCTTCGGAGCTCATTAACTGTTTAGTAATTGGAAACAAAGCCGCCAAAGATTGAGAAATGATGTACAGGTTCGTAAGGGCTTGCGTAAGTGCTTTCGTGAATGTGGGCCCCGAGTCCTAAGACACCGCCATAACTGTCGCCCCTCACCAGACAACTGACAGACAGACGTCTAAGTAATTAACTATAGTTTGTGTGCCCATATTGGCATGTTACGTAGTTCTTACCACATACCCCTTCTCGACCTGCCTGCCGGGGGAGCCCAGAGGGCCGTAGGCGGTCACCACGATGTTCTGGGCCCGACAGAACTCCTGCATCTCCCGCTGCTGGAAGTGGACGTGCAGCTCTACCTGTAACACATGCACATTTAGGTACCAGTACATGCAACACAAGCACACTGTCAGTGTCCCCAGCAACACACACACACATTCAACATCCTGCAACACAGTCAGGAAATGCTACAGAGATTACCAGTAGGTGTTGAGAACCCAGTTCATAAATAATATCAATATTAGTAGTTAAAAATGGGAGTCGTGATACAGCCATGACCATACCTGCTGCACAGCTGGCTGGATCCTGGAGATGGCGCATAACTTCCGTATCTGCTTGACGGAGAAGTTAGACACTCCGATAGACTTGGTCAGCCCCTTGTCAACCATGTGCTCCATCTCCTGTGGCAACGCCCAGACACATTAGAGTTAGTGTGACACGAACCTTTAGTAAGCCAGGACGCGGTCTCTTGCAGCCCCGATGTCTGCCACTTGTCAAAATATTTTATATTATGTGTGGTGCCGTTCTCTACTCTGTGGTGAAATTGTCTACTATGTTCGTGGTCCCATTCTCTACTGTATTTGGTCCCATTCTCTATGTTTGTGGTCCCATTTTCTTCTATGTTTGTGGTCCCATTCTCTACTATGTGTGGTCATTCTATGTGGCCCTGTTGCAATATAGGACTAACCTATATGCGGACCCGTCATATGTTGAGGTGCATCCTATGCACGTGTCCATTCTCTATGATGTGTTGTATTGATCAGTTAACTGTACACCGCATTCTCCTCCTGTGAGCGGTAGCTCAACAGAGGATCAGAGAGAGCACAAAAGGTTTTAACCAAACCTCAGTAAAGTACTTCTTACACTTAAGAGTTAGATCTGACCTTATAATAACTTCTAGCTGCAAACATTTCATCTGTGTGGGGCACTCTCTCTCCTGCCTGGGCTCTCACTGTGCTCTATGCTGCTCTCAGTCATTAAATTATTTTGTTTACAAGTGATTTCCAGTAATCAATCATTAACAACCTTGCTGTTAATAATACAGTGGGAGACTGTATTGTCTGGTGGAAAGGGAACTATCAGGGAGGAAAAGCGCCAAGCCATTAAGACTACATAGCACTTGGATTATCTGGTGGAGTGGGAGACTATTATCTTGTAGAATGGGTGGCTTAATTGCATAGTTATATGGAATCACGCAGCCAACCATTATTTAACCTAACCCATACCCACTACACCTACTCCCACACACTCACTCTTACGCCACCCAGGCCACCCACCCACCCCACCCAGGCCACCCACCCCACCCACCCACCTTCCACAGAGCGATGAGGTCGGTGGAACAGTCAATAATTATCATTCCATCTTGAGTCTTGGGCATGGTATCCATATCGTGCGCGCCCTTGACCCCCACAGGCAGGTGGATCAGGTATAGGTCAACGTAGGAGAGCTTCAGCGCCTCCAAGGACTTCTTCAGGAACTTCTCCACCCCTCCGGCGTACATCCCGTGCAGCGGCAGCTGTGGGGGTGGTGTAGATATGACTGGGGTGGTGTAGAGATGACTGGGGTGGTGTAGAGATGACTGGGGTGGTGTAGAGATGACTGGGGTGGTGTAGATATGACTGGGGTGGTGTAGAGATGACTGGGGTGGTGTAGAGATGACTGGGGTGGTGTAGAGATGACTGGGGTGGTGTAGATATGACTGGGGTGGTGTAGAGATGACTGGGGTGGTGTAGAGATGACTGGGGTGGTGTAGAGATGACTGGGGTGGTGTAGAGATGACTGGGGTGGTGTAGAGATGACTGGGGTGGTGTAGATATGACTGGGGTGGTGTTGAGATGACTGGGGTGGTGTAGAGATGACTGGGGTGGTGTTGAGATGACTGGGGTGGTGTAGAGATGACTGGGGTGGTGTAGAGATGACTTAAATAATATTAATGTCAACGCACAAGCCAGAGCAGTAGGAGGGCTGAGAAGAGAAACAATATTAACGAAAGAGATGTGCGATGGCTGGAAGCAGAAGGTGAGATGGAAGGTCCATTACCTTAGTGACCACAAAGACCTTGTCCCGGGGCGTGCCGCTCTTCTCCAAGTAGCGGTGAAGACCCGCTCCGACGGAGTCTTCGTTGAGGTAGAGGAAGGCAGTGTCGATGTGGCGGTACCCGGCCTCCAGGGCGACCTCTACGGCCGCTGCCACCTCGTCCGCCGGCGACTGCGACACAGAGGAGTTACGTTATTATGGTGCTGAGGAAACTGACACCTCCAGCCTCTCACTCGTCCTCCTTGATGGTGAGGAGGAGCTGGTGCATTCCTCACATCACCCTCATCCCCTCCCGGTGTGATAGTGGAAGAACAGAGTGTTATTGGCTCCCTCTGGCGTCATAAGACGGACGCCGCCGTCAGGAGACCGCTTCTTACCTGACGAACAAATCCACAAGGGCCGTGACGAGGATTCGAACCTACGTCTGTGAGCATCCCAGACGCTGCCTTAATCGATTGAACTACGACATGGTAAAAGAGTTGAAACCGAAGTTCTACTGAACTTACTGGATCCTGCAGCCTCTTCGAGACACAAACCAGGGTTCTTACCTGACGTTTGCCTGGATGCGGTTGTTCAGGTACATTATGAGGATAGGGAGTGTAAATTATGAGGATTGGAAGAGTAGAGTGTGAGGACACGACTCACACTCACATAAATCATATTTCAGAACATTAGCTAACAGTAAGCACGTATCTCTACCACATATATGTTAAACAGCAAAAAAAAATATGTAAGAATTTATATCAAGTAATTAATGGATATTAGGAGTCAAAGATGGCGCCGATATCTCCAGTAGTGGATGGCACTGAACTACACTGTCCTTGTGTCAGGGGGGAAGGGGTGGGTGTCACGGGCAGCTTGAGTGTCAGTGCCTAATTTGTCGAGGCACTCGGGGCAAAAATTATTCAATTCAGGAGTCCGTGGATGACGGTGGTCAGAGATGTGGTGTGTGAAGGCGAGCCAGTGTTGGGCCGCTCAGGACCCGGTAATCAGGTCAGCATTCAGGGTAATTTAATTAGACGCAGCACCAGCGGGAGATGCATCAGCAGGTACCCCACACACCATCCACAGGAACCTACACACCATCCAGGTACCCACACACCATCCACAGGTACCCCACACACCATCCACAGATACCCACAGGAACCCACACATCATCCACAGGTACCCACACATCATCCACAGGTACCCACACACCATCACTGGACAACGCGACATCAGCTGACGACGAAGCACTAAGGAAAGGAGATCAACGGATGGTGGCATAGAAGCGGAACCACGCGAGTTCAAAGAAGCCTCAAATTTAATAAAACAGGAAAATTTTAATCCAGTAGTAACGTCAAGATTTCTGTGCCTCAAGTGTGAGGACAGGCTGCAATGTAAACATTTGCATATATATATATATGACGAATATTTAACAGAGTACAAATATTACCAAAGCGATATATTATATATTTTAGATCCGGGATCAGGCGAGGCGGGGTTCGAGAATTTTGGACCAAGTCAGCCTTGACTTGGAAGATGTGCTTCGTCATTATCATTCCATTAAGGTCGATATTTAATGCTTTAATGCCACATTTCCGCCTTAAGAACGTTTGTGTGTTAACGCTCTCTGCCGTGGTACTGGTTGGAGGGATTTTATCTTTCTGACTTGCAGTTTTGACCCGCAAGAACGTCCTGACAATGCGTGGGGCGTCCTGACAATACGTGGGGCGTCTTGACAATACGTGGGGGCGTCTTGACAATACGTGGGGCGTCCTGACAATACGTGGGGCGTCCTGACAATACGTGGGGCGTCCTGACAATACGTGGGGCGTCTTGACAATACGTGGGGCGTCTTGACAATACGTGGGGCGTCCTGACAATACGTGGGGCGTCCTGACAATACGTGGGGGCGTCCTGACAATACGTGGGGCGTCCTGACAATACGTGGGGCGTCTTGACAATACGTGGGGCGTCTTGACAATACGTGGGGCGTCTTGACAATACGTGGGGGCGTCTTGACAATACGTGGGGCGTCTTGACAATACGTGGGGCGTCCTGACAATACGTGGGGCGTCCTGACAATACGTGGGGCGTCCTGACAATGCGTGGGGCGTCCTGACGTGGGGGGCGTCCTGACAATACGTGGGGGCGTCCTGACAATACGTGGGGCGTCTTGACAATATGTGGGGGCGTCTTGACAATACGTGGGGCGTCCTGACAATACGTGGGGCGTCTTGACAATACGTGGGGCGTCTTGACAATACGTGGGGCGTCCTGACAATACGTGGGGCGTCCTGACAATACGTGGGGCGTCCTGACAATACGTGGGGCGTCCTGACAATACGTGGGGCGTCCTGACAATACGTGGGGCGTCCTAACAATAAGTGTGGAGCGTCCTAACTACAGTATAGCTCAGAGTAAACAAAAAGCCCGTAGACTCCCAAGGTCACAGCTCACCATTCAACCTGCGCACACGGGACGATCGCCACGCGTCTAGCGACCTTGATGCTGAGGTTCAAGACCAACTGGCCATGCGTCTAGCGGCTGTGTTGCAAAGGAAGACCTTCTTACTATTGCCCCTCTTAATATCCGAAGCTTTTTTCCCAGTGGGAAAGAACCGCTTAACGTGGTCCTAGATCAGACTGCTCCGGTAAGTGTCGACGAGGGACATCACGAGGTTACTGATGATGTCTGAGAGAAGCACCGGGATGACTCCGTGAACTTTGCCTCCGTGACGTGCAACAGTGCAGGTGCAACCTTCGGCCGCCCTGGTGGTCACAGTCAGCTCCTGGGTTAATATTGGTGAGGATGAGTTGCACTTTTACCACGGGGGTGGCGGGGGGAGGTGTGTTTAAGACGCCCTTCTCTAAGTGTGGTCATCGCGTTGATACTGTTGTCTAAGATTGATTTCTTTACCTTGTTGGGTTCTTGGTTGTGTTCCTCGGTACAGTCTTTGTCCGTTGCTTGTTCCGTTCTTTGTCCCGTTTCTTGTCGCGTTCATTCTTGGGTTCCTTATTACGTGTCCTCATTTGCTCCTTGTTGCGTGCCTTGATGGGTTCGCTCGACAATGTCAAGATTCCTTCATTCGAGCTCTGGCAAAACAAACAAATTATCTACCTGGGTATCACTGCCTACCACACTGAGTCTTGCACGTGTGAGCATTAGGTACTGACAGTGGCGGGCCTCCGGGGACTCCGGTGTCCCCCCAGATCCTTCAGGTCATTGCTTACAGTTTAACGCCCCCGGTGTACAGCCTTACACAGTCCTCACTACGCGCGACCTTATGAAGTTCCTATAGCTGCAGACAATCTACACTGGATCATTACACACAATCTACACACTTCTCGCGGTACTATACATAACCATCACTCGCTGCTATGCAGAGGTGAAGAAGATACCAGCTGATCAAAATCATCACTCCACACACGATAGATCGTCAATACACGCGGTCATCACTGCTCTGCTTGACCCTCATTTTCTATCCACAGATTCTGAAGGAAGTGAAGTGTGAGGGACTCCCGACGCCTCTCTGGCCTCACCCAGACTGCCTATGGTCTTTCCTAAACACACACACACACAATCAACATCAGTTGATTGACAGTTGAGAGGGGGGACCAAAGAGCCAGAGGTCAACCCCCACAAGCACATCTCAGTGAGTACAACTAGGTAAGTACTCACACACAGACATACATACACACACACACAGACATACATACACACACACACACACACACACACACACACACACATACATACATACACACACACATATACACATACATACATATTGATGGATTCGCTCGACAATGCCAAGATTGGGTATCACTGCCTACCACACTGAGAGTCTTGCATGTGTGAACATTAGGTACTGACAGTGCCGGCCTTCCGGGGACACCGGTGTCACCCCAGATCCTAATGGAATGCATTAGAAAGTGATGTCGTGGAGGTTGACTCCATACACAGTTTCAAGTGTAGATATGATAGAGCCCAATAGGCTCAGGAACCTGTACACCTGTTGATTGACGGTTGAGAGGCGGGACCAAAGAGCCAGAGCTCAACCCCCGCAAGCACAACTAGGTGAGTACAAATAGGTGAGTACATACACACACATCTCCTAGATCTTTCTCTCTCTGTCAGTTTCGTGGAGGACTTCCTCTCTCATTCGGTATCCAGTGTCTGGCCTCCTGTTCCCTCCGCCTAGTTTCATCACCTTTCATTTACTTGGGTTGAACTTTAATAGCCATTTTTTGGACCATTCTTTCAGTTTGTTTAGGCCAGATGTGTACTCACATAGTTGTGCTTGCGAGGGTTGAGCCTCGGCTCTTTGGTCCTGCCTGTGTGTGTGTGTATGTGAGTGAGTGAGAGAGAGAGAGAGATACTGGAAGTCTGTCACCTTAACTGACAATTCTTACCTGCCAACACCCCAGTCCCAGGAGGGGCATGTGGTGTCCTGAGCTCAACAACACCTCTCTTCCTGACATCCTCTCGGCGAACTGGAAGAGAAAGAGAGAGAGAAGAGACGAGTTGGATTAGTCATTCATCCGGCACACTCAGGTACGGAGGCTCACACACCCACAGCAACAGGGAACCTCAATCACTGTGACGCCGTCCTTAGTATTATGCTAGAACGACGGCAGCGGGTCGTGGCTGGCAATACGAATGAGGGAAGAAGCGACAGAAACGGAAGGACTGAGGACGGGATGAGGGGAAAGCCAGAAATGGAGATAAGAGATAGGAGAATGATTGATTGATTGATGAAGATTAAGCCACCCAAAAGGTGGCACGAGCACGAATAGCCCGTAAGTGATGGCCAATTTGAGCCATTGCCAGTATCAATAGATGATACTGGAGATCTGTGGAGGTGCGGCTGCACCCTGAGTGACGGGAGATGTCTCCCTAGGAGAATGGGATTAAGAGACAGGATATATGAAAGTGAGGAAGTAGTGGGGGGGGGGGGGGATACTTCAAAGCGGCCTAGCATTACTCCTTGGTTACCCCTGTGGCTTTTGTTCTCACTGAAACAACTCGCATAAACAGACACTATTGTTTCATTGCCGGCTCCAACCGGGACGTTAGCCACTCGTTATTACTCAAGCGGATCTTTCATTAATGATACACGAGTGGATATACACACCAATAGGTGAAACACGCTTCTCGGTGCATATACAATGATAGTATACTTTAGTCTTGGACTAAATTATACTTGCTGGTTGTTCACTAAGCTATCGTTGTTAATAACCCTCCAGCGTTAAGTATATACATGGAAGTGTATACAAAAGGCGTTAAGCCATCGAACTGAACATTACGTAAACTAACATTTTAGTTTCCTGGATCTATAGTAGTTACGTTAGGCTCTATTATTGTTAAGGACAGTGTGTAATTGTTACGTTACTTACTCCTATTCATACAATACCTACCGTTGTTCTTTTGTTTACAACCCAAATTGCTGTATTATTGTTCATAAATATTTTCCTGTGGGTTCTTGTTCTAAATTTACGAATAAGAGTGAGAAGTCATGCAGTTGAATTTATGTTATTTGATACAGGACACATACACAAGTATTGGGAGACCATAGCAGACACGCCTCCAATAGACAGCACTGTACGTTAATTAACGACGTCAATGCACGACAATATTGGCAATATTTACGCCAATTCTGGTGTCATCTGACAATTTATCCGTATTCTTCGCGTCAGGCAAACAGAAGATGATTTATATACCTATAAACAGAGCTAGGGAGAGACGGATATAGTGATATTTGAAGGTAGGTACAAAGGTAAACACCTTACGGAGGTACTCTTCATATGCAAGCGGATGCCAGCGACCAACTCTTCAACAGCGCCCAGCGAAGGGCGGGAAGACTGTCCCAGCAGCGCCGAGCGAGGGACGGGAAGACTGTCCCAGCAACGCCCAGCGAAGGACGGGAAGAGAAGCTTACCTGACACAAGTGGAGACGCGAGCGAGCGACAAGGAGCAGCCAACGCCTCCACGGCCACCACGACACTGATAAACTTCTTGCTCACTGTCCCTGACTTTACCTTTCCACCCCTGCCCCTCCCTTCTCCTTCCCCAACACTCCCCTTCCATCCTCGGCTTACAGGGTTATAATGAGCCGCTCACAGGATGGGTGAGGATACCCTGTAACTTTTCCACTGCTCCTGACTGGATGGGTATGGGGAGCATAATAAATGAACTTAACAAATTTTCACTGAAACAATACTAACCTGAACCTAATGCAAACTTTTCTAATCTTATCTAATATAACTAATCCAACTAAACTTAATGCAAACATTCGTAACCAAAAAGAAAATAGGAATACATCGGACACTGAAATAGGAGCAACATAAACCTATTTCAATTCATTAGTTAACTGGTACGTGAAATTGTTATTGTATCACATTCTTAAAATCCAAAATATGACAATATTTTACTCTGGCGCACCTGGAAATTCAAAGTTGTTCTCTTTATTTATTTATTTATTTATTTATTTATTTATTTATTTATTTATTTATTTATTTATTTATTTATATACAAGAAGGTACATTGGGTTTGTGAGAATACATAGCATAGTATTTACTATGCATAGTTCTTGTAAAGCTACTAGTACGCGCAGCGTTTCGGGTAGGTCCTTAATCTAACAGATTATTTTAAGTAGGTAAAGTTCTTATTTCTAAACAGTTCTTATTTCTTAACAGATGACAGATTTTTCCCGCAGTCAGGTTTCTCGTCCCACGCTGTCTACGATGACGCAGGTGTGAGGTGAGACACGTCATTGTGTCTCACCTCTCGTCTGCGTCCGTGACGCAACTTAAGAGCATCGTTAAGCTCAGATGTGCAGTGGGTACCAAGCTTCGCCCACCAACACTCTAACATCCTGACAACAAGCTTCACCCACCACTCCACTAACATCCAGAAAACATCGCAGTAAACAAGATAAGAATTCTCATCTCGAGCATTCAATGAACATCAGAGAACATCAGATCTAGAGAAACAGAACTGCTGCCAGCCTCTTTACAAGCAACTGTACTAGCTGAACCCATGACCTCACAGTGATGAACCCAGCACATCTGATGATTTCCAAGCAGCCTAAAAAAAACACGACGTGGAATACTCCAGAGTGAGCTTATTGACCAAGTAACAAAAACTATCCAGTTCTCCATATTGCACGAAAAGGAAGCCTAAACTCGACCAAAAGCTCAGGACACATGTGTCCTGAATTCGGGCTTAAAAATGTATGTTGAAGAATCAAAAGCCATTTAATGTAACCCGCAAATGCACCTCACTACAGGAAATGTATAACTGGAATAGATAGCAGACTACAAGAGAAACAAAAAAACAGTTAGAGCCCCGCTCCTGTACCAGGTAAGTCCACTACGGGCTCACGTTCCAAGCCCGTGCTGCTTGGAACGTTTTGTTCCGAGAAGCTGAATCTAAACCGAGCAGACTACAAATAGCTTGGAATGTGATCACATTCCAAGACAATGTGATCACAGTCAATCAAACCCTCTAACGCAGCCAGAGCACCAAGATGCTGTAGCAGGGAAAAGGGACTACCCCACGTGGAAGGTGAGTATAGCTGTGTTTTCCGGAGTGATGCGGGAAGCCCGGCTTTTCCGGAGTGAAAGTCCCGTGGGGGACGAGACGGGGTTCGAGCCAATACCTATACCAAAGGGTATGGATAATTCCTATTGGGATTAAAGGGCAAGCTGGAAATGGGCGTGGGAGGGGGAGGAGGAATGTGTGGTGGGCGAGCTGGGTGTGGTAGATTAGTTTGGAAGTGGGGGAAGGGGGGACATTAAATCACGGCCACATCCAGGTAACATGGGGTTTTTATCTGTCGGTTACGATTTCCGGATTGTACTCCAGCGTTAGTGGTGTTGTATCCAAGCGGTGAGTACCAAGGAGTTTGTCACCAACCCGTACTGTCCTGCTTAGGGGTCATACCCTATTGTCCTGTGTAGTGATCATCCCCTGCTGTCCCGTGTCTGGGGTTTATGTTGTCGTTCCCTACTGTACTGTATTTGGGATTCATGCCATCAAATCCTACAATAGTGCACCGTGGTTCGTCTCATCAACTCATACCCTCGCGCCGTCCACCTTCCATATCCCAGTCGTCGAGGTGTCCCACCTGGGTCATACCCTCGCCCCGTCCACCTTCCATATCCCAGTCGTCGAGGTGTCCCACCTGGGTCATACCCTCGCCCTGTCCACCTTCCATATCCCAGTCGTCGAGGTGTCCCACCTGGGTCATACCCTCGCGCCGTCCACCTTCCATATCCCAGTCGTCGAGGTGTCCCACCTGGGTCATACCCTCGCCCCGTCCACCTTCCATATCCCAGTCGTCGAGGTGTCCCACCTGGGTCATACCCTCGCCCCGTCCACCCTCCATATCCCAGTCGTCGAGGTGTCCCACCTGGGTCATACCCTCGCCCCGTCCACCCTCCATATCCCAGTCGTCGAGGTTCCATATCCCAGCGTTGAACTTTCTCCAAGGTAGTCGTGTCCTTCTGAAGATAAAGTCTCCATGGTTGAATACAGTAATGCATGTGGAGGCGCACCACATCTATACAGTTGAATACCTACATTCTTGTCCTTGTCCTTGAAATCAAATGTTCGTTTGACTGCTCCGAGGGTTTGATTGGCTTCGTTTTACTGCATCTCCAACTTGTTGTGCAACTTCCAGTGACTGGTGGATTCTGACTCCTAGGACCTGTTTTTCATCAATCATTGCAAGGTAATGTTGTTATGGTCATTGTTATGCCTACATGCAAGGTTTTGCATTTTTTCAGTTTTGTTATTGAAAAGTATTTGCCAGTCACCCGACCGATGTCCGGACACGCTGTGAGGGCCCTCATCTGTTAGTGTTTCATCTGGACACTTCAGGCCTTAAGACAAGAAGCTCGATGATGAAAGAACTTCCATTTTTTGTAGTCTGACGACGTGCTGCGTTTTCTAATCACGGCAATGACTTATAATGATTATATTGGATAATCTAGCATTTTATTTGTATTATTTATTTCTAGCTGACCCTGAGTGAGGCCCCGATATTCACCAGTTCATTCTCTTTGATGAGTTTCTGGCCCCCATCTCCCTAAGACACGAATTTTTGTATTCATAAGAGATAACAGGAAGTGTCTTGGTTCAGTCGCGTTCCGTGACGGGGGCTGGGGGCAGACTGTTGTATTTCTGGTGTCTGACACTGCGTCAGGAACGTTTTGAGGTTTTCCTCGTTAGTTATTTCATACGTTTATCCACTGGCAGTCTTGCTAGTATTCTTCCACCTCTAAGAAAGCCATGCTTGGTCACTCCTAGGACTTGCTTACGAGCATGTCTTAGATTAACGAAAAATATCCTTTCTATTTCTAGTCAGAACGGTGTAGAAGATACCTTTTTTCTCCATATTACACTGAGTGCATGTACTACTGGTATCTGGTGAGAAGAGTACGGTGTTCACCGTACACCGTCTCTCCTCCCGAATAACCAGCCAGAAAATGGAAAAAACTATCAACTTCCCTGTGACCCCAGGAGATAGGTGCACCTTGTGGATTTGTTCATTTGATGCATCACGCTATTTTGATTTCTGTGTGTATTATTTGGTTATTATGATAATTAATCAAATAATAACGATTTATAAAGAATTCATAGACAATATTTATGTTAGCCCTTATATACTGTATTATATTCATATTGTTATATTATTATTACTACTACTATTATTATTATTATTATTTATAATTCATTATTGCTTTATAATTATACTATTACTAAAAACAAAGCATTTTGTTTACCGAAAATAATACAAATTACAGTAATTGTTCACAGTTTTCGACAAGATTTTGCTCTCGCTGGTGCTGGTGGTGGAGGTCGGCTCCCCTGCATCACTGGAGCAGTAAAATCCTATTTACGTTGTCCTCTGCCACACCTGTAAGCCAGTCAGGCTTCTAATCTCACATTTAAATCAAGAAGAAGATAAATGAAGAACTGATTCTGCTAGTGAAATGCGAGCAGGAGGAGAGGGCACAGTGCTAGTGAGGCAGTAAGTTATTGACAAAGGAATTAATAGTTTCAAGCGGTCCGTCTAATTACCACAAGCTACACAAAGCTTCCTGGCAATACGTTAGTAATGAATAAATATGATATATTTACTCATTATAATGTTGGTACTGAATGTACAACACGAAAAAAACATAATTTTAATCTGAAAAAGTATCTTTTTATAAAGAAATTAGACGAAAATTTAGCAGTCTCCGTGGTGTAGTGGTAAGACACTCGCCTGGCGTTCCGCGAGCGCTATGTCATGGGTTCGTATCCTGGCCGGGGAGGATTTACTTGGCGCAATTCCTTAACTGTAGCCTCTGTTTAACTCAACAGTAAAATGTGTACTTGGATGAAAAAACGATTCTTCGCGGCAGGGGATCGTATTCCAGGGACCTGCCCGAAATGCTACGCGTACTAGTGGCTGTACAAGAATGTAACAACTCTTGTATATATCTCAAAAAAAAAAAAAAAAAAAAAAAAAAAAAAAAAAGAGCTGGTGACGCCAAATCAAGTCGACGATCCAAGCGTCGGTTAGGTTTGGTTAAGTTGGGTTAGGTTTGGTTTGGTTAAGTTAGGTTAGGTTAGGTTTGGTTAAGTTAGGTTAGTTTAGGTTAGGTTAGGTCAGCCTAACCTAACATATCATATTTATTCATTACAAACGTATTGCCAGGAAGCTTGTGTAGCTTGTGGTAATTAGATGAACGCGTTTCAAGTATTGTTACTTTGAGGAGTGCTGGGTTTTCCTTATTCCTCTTGGCTGGCAACCTGTCCTCAGATCAAGTCCATTCTATCCAGCGGTCAACCCCAAAGACGTATTCATAAATTTTTACATGCTGTTCATTCAAAACAGGAATTTTCTATATATTATAATATATTATCAATTTATAATATATTAGCATATATAGGCATAGGTTAGGTTAGGTGTTTAGGTTCTGTTGGCGATTATTTGTATTTGTAATATGTGGTGAAGCATTTACAGCATTGTGGTTCGAACAAAATTCGTGTGTGTGAAGCACTTGTTCCGGAAGAGTTCAAACGAAATCAGTTGAGTCGTGTGTAAACCGTTTTCATTCATAAACGGGGGTTTGGCAGGTGCATGGAATCATTTTTGGGTCTTTGGAGGATGGGCTGTGACTGGGCGGTAGAGCGACTGTCTCGCTTCATGCAGGTCGACATTCAATCCCAGACCGTCCATGTGGTTGGGCACCATTATCCACTTTCAGTCTTGCTAGTATTCTTCCACCTCTAAGAAAGCCATGCTTGATTACTCCTAGGTCTTGCTTACGAGCATGGCTTAGATTAAAGAAAAAATCCTTCCTATTTCTAGTCAGAGAGCGGTGTAGAAGATACCTTTTTTCTCCATGTTACACCGACTGCATGTACTACTGGTATCTGGTGAGAAGAGTACGGTGTTCACCGTACACTATCTCTTCACCCGAAAAACCAGCCAGATAGAGAGAGATATACCAAATAATATACACATGGAAAATACTGGAGGGACAGGTCCCAAATCTGCACAGTAAAATAACAACGTACTGGAGTGAACGACATGGAAGAAAATGCAGAATAGAACCAGTGAAGAGCAGAGGTGCCATGGGCACAATCAGAGAACACTGTATGAATATCAGAGGTGCCATGGGCACAATCAGAGAACACTGTATGAACATCAGAGGTCCACGGTTGTTCAACGTCCTACCAGCGAGCATCAGAAATATTACAGGAACAACCGTGGACATCTTCAAGAGGAAACTAGATTGTTTCCTTCAAGGAGTGCCAGACCAACCGGGCTGTGGTGGGTATGTGGGCCTGCGGGCCACTCCAAGCAACAGCCTGGTGGACCAAACTCTCACAAGTCAAGTTTGGCCTCGGGCCGGGCTTGGGGAGTAGAAGAACTCCCAGAACCCCATCAACCAGGTATCAACCAGATACCCCGTTCCATCCCAAATCCTTATTCGGACCCCTTCCAAGTGTTATATAGTCAAAATGGCTAGATGCTTTCTCCTGATAGTTCCTTCCTTCATTCTTGCTGATGGGCATGTAGGAAACTTGTATTTCAGGGTACAGATATAATGGAATATCATTAGCTAGTACATTGCATGCAATAGGAATATTCAGCAGTTTAATGAGATAGGCAACAGTTCTATTCAATCGGTTTGCACATAGGTTGCCTGCTGGCGCATTGGATTATTAAAAGTATTCAGGGCGCTTGATAAACTCTCAGCTCTCTTATGAGGATCCTGACCGAGAATGTCCATATACCAATTGCAAAAATTTACAATTTAGTTAAAATTGTGTAAAATTTAGTTAAAATTAGTTGAAATTTAAAATTAGTTAAAAAATATTTATGCTGTTCTGTTGCATTTTCTGCTGTTCCATTCAACTTGTAATTGTCATTTTTTCCTATTTCAGGTTCAATTCATGCTTTTATCTCAGTTATTTTTGTCTTTGTTTTTAAGTGTTTTTCCCACTTCTTGCCCAAAGAAGGGCAATACGAAGAAGCCAGTTTAGGCCTAGTATATACTAGCTCTCTAGAAATTCAACCTTCTTTTTGGAACTCATATTGTATATGTACTTTTACCTAAATAAAATTATTATTATCAATATTATTATTATTTGTACAGTATTATTATTATTATGTTGACTGTTACAGGGAAATTTATAAGCAGAAGGAAAACTTCAGCAGACATTAGATGGTTTCTTAGGAATGAGGATCAAGTGAAGAAGAAAGAGGACAAGAAAGGACAGAAATATAAAAAAAGATAGCCATGATGAGAATCAGGAAAATGAAAAGGTCAAGGAAGATTAACATAAAGAAGAAAAGATTGATGATGGTCATGAACAGAAAGACGATCCTATTAATCTGATCCATCTTGAATCAAATGAATAATCTCACTGCGGCCTCACCATTTGGCAGAGAAATAGTCAATTCCTGTATCTGGTATGTAACTTTTCTTTGGAACACTTTGCATAGTGGCTTTGTTTTTGTGTGTAACCCCTGCACCTATAATATTAATTGTCCCCTCATCTTATGTTCTTTGTCAGTACATTCTTGTGAATAAATTTTTTATTATTATTATTCATGCACAAAGAAATCACATTAATATAATGTATCAATGAGAAAATCAGTAGGAGCCATGAGAATTTCTTCTTCAAGAAGTGCCAGACCAACCGGGCTGGGGTGGATATGTGAGCCTGTGGGCTGCTCCAAGCAACAGCCTGTTGGACCAAGCTCTCACAAGTCAAGCTTGGCCTCAGGCTGGGCTTAGGGAGTAGGAGAACTCCCAGAACCCCATCAAGCAGGAGGATTCGAACCTTTACTCTGGGTACTTCAAGCAAATGCCTTAGACAACTACACCACATCATGGTAAAAGCACTGCAAAGGCCTTCCAACTAATCAGCCATTTAATTGGCGTACTCAGTGCATAGGTTTGAATCCTCCTCATGGCTTCTACTGATTTTGTTAATAATAATAATAATATAATAATTTATAATATTAATGTTATTGCTATATTAATTATTATTCAGGTGTACAATTAAATCATGTTTTGCTTCATTGCTTTTTTTAAGAATACCATAATGTTTGCAGGAATGTGAAAAGAATGGCCAAACATCATCTTTCCCAGTACCCTAAGACCCTAACCATTACTTTAACACTAGGCTATAAGATTTTTTGGTTTCACTTAGTCATTTCAATTAAAGTTGAAGTTTTTAAGACCTTAACCCCGACGTTGAACAAGGTTCACCTGTATTTTTTTCCCCATGAGTAGGAAATTTCTTGCTACAGTAAAACAAACCATAAATTTTTACTAGGATTGTTAGGTAAACAAATTCTTGTAAATGTCATTGCTAGAATTCAACATTGGCATTGTTATAGTCACAGTCTGTTATAGAAGAGTTGAATTCTAGTACTCCAGTAGAATATGTTAATTTGGTGGACCCCATGTCATTTGAGGATATTTTATTTCAGAAAATTAGGAAGCAACTAGTAGAGATACCAAGTTAACTAAGTTAATGAATTATGCCAAGTATGGTTGGGAAGATAATTTACTATTGTCTGTGTATGCCTAATTATTTTCAGCATTTATTTTTTATTTTTATTTATTTATATACAGTATACGAGTTCTTACATTCTTGTACAGCCACTAGCATGCATAGCATTTCGGGCAAGTCCTTAATCCTAATTTTCACACACAAACATTCGCAGGAAGCAGCCGTAGCAACTGTCTAACTCCCAGGTACAGTACCTATTCAGTGCTAGGTGAACAGGTGCATCATGGTGAAAGAAGCTCTGCCCATTTTTTTCCGCCTCTGCCGGGGATCGAACCTGGGCCCTTATGACTACAAACACTGAGTGCTGTCCACTCAGCTGTCAGGCCCCCCATCATCAGTGAAGGCTGGGGGATCAGCCTTCACTGGGAACATCAGTGAAGGCTAACCTGATGTAATCATATACTCTAAATAAATAGTGAAGGTTCCTGTGTAATTAAGATGTAAGATTTTGGAACAGCTGCATGTAGGTTATAATGGTATAGATGCTATGAAAGCAGAATCCAGAAGTTGAGTTTGGTAGCCAAAAATGAATTCAGGAAATTACTGAAGTAACTAAGAATTGTCATACAGTACAGTAATTTTTTTAAGAATTTCCAAAAAACTCAAGTTCCAGGGAAACCTGGAATATTTAGCATTGGGAAAACCCTGCTATATAGCTTACATAGGTTCTGGGTATATAGTTCTATATAGGTTCTGCTGGACCTATTAACAGGAAAAATGGAGGAATTATTTTTAGACTGAATAGTATAAAACATATAACATCTGCTCCATGTAGTCCTCCTTCAAATTGTTTGGCTGGCAGCATCATCTTTAAAAGAATGGTTACATCAGTTTACAGAAGGTTCTACTAACAAAAGACAGTAGATTTTTAAATGATCAAAGGAAAACTTTTCATGCTTCCACTGGTAAATCTCCTGAATTAATGTTTAATAGGCATTTCATAGTCCACATGGACAAATGGTGGAGGATCTTTAAAAAGCTGCCGACTTCCTGTCCTTATCGAGGCCACTATAAATAGTGGCTCTCGGGTAGATGGGGGAAGCAGTAAAAATAGATATAGGTAAAGAAAAATCAGTAACTGATCTTGCTAAGTAATTGTCTCAGGAACGAGGTTTTATTTAGAGAGGCAGATACGGTACATGTAAGGAATTTTGAATTGGGTAAGCCTTGGGAGGAAGGAAAAATTTTTGAAATCATAGGCTGATCTGAATCTGTATCTGGATGTAGAGGGGAGGTTCTGGGAGTTCTACTTTCAGTGCCCGGCCTGGGGCCAGGCTTGACTTTTGATAACATGGTTCAACTGGCTATTGCCTGGAGTGGCCTTCAGGCTCTCATATCTACTGCAACCCAGTTGGTCCAGCACCTCTCACAAGAGCCTATCTAATTGCCTTTTGAAGAAGTCCACCTTTCTTCCAGCAATATTTCTAGTGCTTGCGGGGAAAGTATTGAACAGCTGTGGACCTCTGATGTTCATAAAGTGCTTTCTGATTCTGCCTATGCACCTCTACTCTTTACTGATTCTATTCTGAATTTTCCCCCACATCTTTTGCTCCAGTATGACATTAATCTATTGTGCAAAATTGGGACCTGGCCTTCCAGTATGTTCCTTAAATGTTCTTTTGTACCTCTTGTCTCCTTTCTAGAGAGGAAGGTGCCGGTACATTTTGAGAGCTTTGTGACAATCCCATTAATTTAGGTGCTTTATTGTGTCTATTTAAAAAAATCTCTCCAGTTCTGAAAGAGGAAGCAAGTACTGAATAGTACTCAAGATGTGACATTACCAGTAATTAAAATTTTGTTAACTATACTATGGAATCCCTGGATTTGAACTTTCTCATAGTCCATCCTATCATTTTCCTGGTAGATGTTATATTTGCTTCATTATGTTCACTTAATATCAGGTTGTCAGACATAATTCCCAGATTTTTTAAGAGTGGGTTTCCCTCTATGAGTAGGTCTGATTATATCTTGAACTCGTGTTTCATTTAAGTTCACCATTTCCAGTATATCAAAGTATCTGGAATTTATCACTATTAAAATCATGTTCTTTTCTGTTGCCCATTTGAAGACTTTATTAGTATCAGTTTGTAGTTTTTCAGTGTCTTCTATAAATTATAATTTGGTATCCAGATTTCACTATCCATATACTCTTTTGTATGGGTTTCAGTGAATGCTCCAAATATTAAATTCGACTACAGTGTATTAGGAAGCTATATATGAACTTTATTTCTCAATTTTGACTTTAATTCTATTAAGTTTGCAAATATAAAAGATTTTCCATGTTGTGTATTACTTCCGGTGGGTTTTGAGAATTCTGTTGTAGTTTTGGCGATGATTTGTCCAATTTTGGTGGTAGTATATGTGTTGTGGGGTGTGATAGTTTGTGGACTTGAGGGGGTGTAGTACCTATGTGCTTGATGGCAACTTGTAGTCCAATACTGTATTATGCTTTTCTTCTTCCCCATCTTGCAAAGTTTCTGTCTGCCTGTTCTTATATTTTCTGCTCTGTTTCTGCCTGCCTCCAAAACGCTTTAAGAATGATCAATTGTGGACGGGTCCTCCTCTTGTCTACACTATATTGTTCTTCTTACATGGAAATCTGGACATTATAGATCACAACATTTTCTCTCTCTAATTGAGAGTTTGCATAGTTTAGTGTGGAGGTATCTGCACTCTGTTCCAAAACAGCATGCACCCTCTCCCCAACATGTTCCAGCATTTTCTGGGATGTGAATCTGCATTTTGTGCCTTTGGGCCCATATTTGCATATTCCCTTTGCATAATATTAGCAAATATTTATGTTTGGGGTGTTTTCCAGGTGTTTATTTCAGTGCTTGTCTGTGTTCTGTTCAACTGTAATTTACTATTTCCTCAGTTAGACATTCTCTCTTCTCACTATGTTGTTGAGCTGTAGGAATTTCGAAGTGCAAGTTCAAAGCTTTGGTAATATTTAGAAAAGACATGCAGATCAACTTGTAGAAAGATTTACAAAGAATTTTGAAAATCCAATAGTGCTGAATTGTTGACTTGGGATACCCGAGATAATAGTGAAAGGGTAAGACCTGGCAGAGCAAGATTCAAGAGGGGGAAAAGGATAATGATAACTCCATGTAATCAGAAGTTAGTAATTCAGAAGAAGGTTCCTTTGAGTTGTCGGATCTTGATCCCTAGTTGAGAAGATCAGGAAGGGTCATACAACTGCCTGATAAGACTTAATTCGAAGAAAGCAGATTCTAATTAAAAGGAGAGGAATGTCAGGATGGAGTTTGAATTGCAGTATTAAATATTACCTAGGTTATCTTCATGTTATGAAGATCATATGTTTTTCATTTACCTTATTATATGTTATTGTATGTAGATATCTGGCATTTATACCAATGAATGTGGATTTTGTTTTAGATTAAACATGCAGTTAAGACATGTTTTTCTTACCACCTTATACTTAGCAATCTACTTAAAAGTCCTTTAATCTTACACAGTCATCAAGTGAGCAAAATTTCTTTCAATTACAGAGTTCATTTGCTGCTTTTGTATCACACACATATTTTAAGTCATCTTTCTCAAGCACTTAGCCAGTTATTCTTTTGTCTGCCTTCTCAAAATCTGCAAATTAACATGATTTCAGATACCTGTTGTCGGGGTAGTAAACTTCTGAATTATCGAGGCCCACCTTAGTCCAATGACTGACCTTCCTGATGATGTATCCCAAAATGGTCGCCTAACTCGCTATTTACTGGCAGGTAAGCCATGGAATTGGGTGTAAGAGTACTACAATGTTATATATTTTCTGGGAATTGAAACTTGAACCATTCAATTATGTCAACAATGCTATGTTTGTAATGATTAACTTTCTAACATTACAAATTTCTTTTCTCTGTAAAACAAATTGCAATTTATTCTTAAGACAGTGCATAATTATCATTCTCAGAGCCTATTCTTACTTAACCGATCAAATCACTTATCACAATCATCATATACAGTACTTTTTAAAATCAGCTGCTATCACTAAACTATCTACACAAGAAAGATTGTTCGATTTTGTAGGTTTTCAAAACAATTGCATTACTCTTAATTTTTCATCCCTGTTATGTTTCATCATCACTACATTTCCCTCTGTCATGAGGTGGGCAGACACCTAGCTACCCATAGTTTGGAAAAAGGTTGTAAGAAATGAAGGTGACTTCAGATCTCTCATATCTGAGTATTTGCCTCCTCCTCCTCTGGTCATCCACATCCCAGAAAAAGCATACAGATTCACCACAGTTTAAATTTTCTTTATAAATTATATAAAAAAAAGATTAAATTCCAAACAATAAGAAAACTTTAATAAAAATACTGTATTAATAGGTATTACACGTGATTATTGTACATTTTCTTTCAAAACACATTACGGAAAATATGACTATCATAGCCCTCGTAAAACTATATATTCAATAACAAAATAACTAAAAGAAAGCAGATCCATTACCAGTATACAAAATGTTAAGCAAATTAATTTGTTTATTAAACATTGAATTTTTTTAATTCTGATGAATGTGCCTTAAAGAATCGTTATTTCAACATTAGATCATAGGTAGACTGTCTGAACCTCTAGTTTAGTCAAACCAGTTGCTAAACACTGGATCCACATAATGTTACTTCCACGGTATTTATATGTGAAACCAAAACAACTATATTTTGTTCTTGTTAATATACAGCAATCTGTCCATCTAGAAACTGAAAAAAACACAATAACTTTGATTTGCTAAACATGAGTGAAAATAGTATTTACCCCTATAAGATCAAAGTGGAACAACTTAGAAATATAGCACTAATCTCTGCGCTGTGTTTCCAAATAGACAGATGAGCAAATATTCTCTGTTGTGTCCACCCCATCGCAAATGATGAGTCACAATAACGTGGCTGAAGATAGGATGACCAAACCACACATCAGGGGGAAAAAATGGCAACTTGATAATGGTCCAAGGCGGACTGAAATATCGTCTTTTCTTCATTTTCTGATGTGTACTTTCGTCATCAGAAGCCAGTTGATAAATTCCTGCTGACATGTATCAGATCTTTACTTGACTCTCTTAAGAAATAAAAAGTGTGTCAATTTGTGTCAATTACACACACTATCAATGAGTGGCATGCAGTAAACAGACTGGCAAGAATTCTACAAGCAATCAGTATGTATCAACAGGTTGGCAGTTTGACTGGTCTTGTATTGCATCAATCAGCTTTCTGAATTAAGTCTTAAAAGGTAGTACAGTATTGAAATACTGTTACATGGTAGTACAGTACTGAAATACTCTTGCATGGTAGTACAGTACTGAAATACTCTTGCATGGTAGTACAGTACTGAAATACTCTTACATTGTAGTACAGTACTGAAATACTCTTAAATGGTAGTACCAGCAAGTGCAAGCCATCTGCATATACAAAGGGCAATAATGTCTTTCTGGGGTTAAAACACGTGTGTAGACTAAGAATATAGAACAAAACAATTCAGGCTATACCTGCTTACTTCATTAAGGCCTACTTTAAAAAAAATCCATAGCTTATCAAATATGTTACAATTTATGAAGGTTAATGGATTCCATACCCAAACCCTTATCAAGGAATATTTCACAAAACTGATAGCAACAATGCCTTTTATCTTCCAATTTCATTAGATTATGATAAAGATCATTTTATAATAACATAGTGCACAAGAAATATATCCCAGTGGGCATTGTTGGTTGGAAGCAACTGATGTTACACATTAGGTAACATCAGTTGCTTTCAACCACTGGTGCCCGCTTGGTATATATTCCTGAACTACGAGCAACATATTAATGAGCAACCAAGTTTACTCCTGCTGGTTTGATCACATTGCAAACATTATGAGACAATGGTGAATGACAGTGAAAAGGTGAGAACAATTGATGATTTGGCCATCACCTTCAGTACCCAGCACTGGTGTCACCATTACTGGGTCACCAGTTTAGAAGTCACCAGTACTGTATTAGACTCAAGTGCTGGATTCACCAGTACCAGAATTACCAGTATTGGAGTCACCGGTGTTGACACCAGTTACTCAAACAACTGACGAAGGAACATGTGCACCTAAAATGTGTCAAATGCATCAATAATCATATTACCCTCGGATCTGTATATACTGTACACACGATAACCAGCATAGCCTAATTGAGCTTTAAAAGGTCCATCATTAACACATGCCCCATGAAGCTCATGGTCTTATACTGTACAAAAGCGCAAAGTGCAAAACACTGAGTAACTAGTTGACTGCAATAAGCTGATTGGGATAACTTGTACATCTCTCACTACTGTAATAAATGAGACGTAACACTACCCCAGACACGATTATCCCTGGGAAGTGGTTACTGGCAGCATATGTATTACTTGGATTCATGTATCAACAATTGTTATTCTAAAATGCAAGCAAACAGTATGAAAACCTTTGGATCTTCCTATGGGCTCCAGGTGGATGCCCCAAGAGGCACATGCTCCTCTAGTGATGGTCATTCCGGGTTTCCGATGGATGCCCCCCAAGAGGAACATGCTCCTCCACAATGTTGGTCATCCCAGTACTGTACTCACAAGATCAAACAAGATAACAACTGTAGTCGAGATTAAAGAAGGTGAAATGCACCTCTTCAAAGAGTAAAACAGATGCATGGGTTGACCATTCTCTGTGGGAAATAAAAGGCCTCACTGTGTTCTCATAACAAGATGGTAATAACTGTTTAACATCTGAGCCATGAGTTTACAGATGTTTGGTGATATTTTGATAACTTGATGAGATGTTTTATGTACAAAGAGCTGCAAGATCATAACATCAACCTATATAAATTCATGAATATTTAAGCCATAACCATCTGTACACAAGTGTAGACTGCAACTATATAGTTTAGCTATGTCTGCTGCATGATCCAATGGCAAAATGGAAATTTAGTTGGCAGCAGTCTGGGTGGAGGAGAATGAGAATCGTCGTAGGTTAGGGGTGTCATATTCCTCCATGCTCATGGTTCGTTGACGACGTGGACGGGTTTCGTCATCAGTCGACGAGCCACTGAAGGTACGTTGGCGGTCCACTCCGCTCAGAGGTAACGAGGTGAGGACACCAAGACCCTTACAGAACAGCTGCAGAGACTGGGCAAACTTCTCGGGCTGTAAAAGATCATACATGTATTATTTGTGTGTGTGTGTGTGTGTATGAATACATATGTATGTATGTATGTATTTACTTTGTGTTTGCAGAATCAAGCTATTAGCTCTTGGACCCTGTCTTTCTAGCCATCTATTTTTCCTCTATTATATCAACTACATATGTTTCTCTCTAACACACACATGCACACATCCCAAGGAAACAACCCATAGCAGCTGTAACTCCCAGGGACAGATTTACTACTAAGTAAACTGGGGCATCATGGGGGAAGAAACCTTGCCCATTTTTTTTTTTTTTTTTTTTTGAGATATATACAAGAGTTGTTACATTCTTGTACAGCCACTAGTACGCGTAGCGTTTCGGGCAGGTCCCTGTAATACGATCCCCGCCGCTAAGAATCGTTTTTTCATCCAAGTACACATTTTACTGTTGCGTTAAACAGAGGCTACAGTTAAGGAATTGCGCCCAGTAAATCCTCCCCGGTCAGGATACGAACCCATGACATAGCGCTCGCGGAACGCTAGGCTAGTGTCTTACCACTACACCACGGACACTGCAAATTTGTTTCCACCTCCACCGGGAATCGAACCCGGGCCAGTAGGACTATGACTTTAAGACTCTAAAGTGCTGGCCACTCAGCTGCAAGGCCCACTGTATGTGTATATGTATGCATGTGTGTGTGTATGTAATTATATATATATATATATATATATCCATGTATATATATCCATGTATATATATCCATGTACATGTATATATATCCATGTATATATATATATATCCATGTATATATATATATATATCCATGTATATATATATATATCCATGTATATATATATATATCCATGTATATATATATATATCCATGTATATATATATATATATATATATATATATATATATATATATATATATATATATATATATATATATATATATATATATATATATATATATATATATATATATATATATATATATATATAATCTATATATGTGTGTATATCACGAAAATAAACACGTGATTAAGAATGTGACAATGTCAGACCACGGAGGAAAAATGAAACAGGAAATTTCCTTAAGTACTTTCGTATATTAAATACATCTTCAGAAGGACCTTCTGAAGATGTATTTAATATACGAAAGTACTTAAGGAAATTTCCTGTTTCATTTTTCCTCCGTGGTCTGACATTGTCACATTCTTAATCACGTGTTTATTTTCGTGATATACACACATATCTATATATATATATCTATATATATATATATATATATATATATATATCTATATATATATATATATATATATATATATATATATATATCTATATATATATATATATATATATATATATATATATATATATATATATATATATATATATATATATATATATATATATATATATATATATATATATATATATATATGCAACAATGATCACAAAAACACTGATCCAAGTATGCAGAATAACCACATATGAAAAATAGAAAATGCTTAACGCGTTTTCGGCTAATTCGCCTTCATCAGAGCAAAGTAGAAATATATATATATATATATATATATATATATATATATATATATATATATATATATATATATATATATATATATATATATATATATATATATATATATATCTATATATATATATATATATATATATATATATATATATATATATATATATATATATATATATATATATATATATATATATATATATATATATATATATATATATATATATATATATATATATATATATATATATATATATATATATATATATATATATATATATATATATATATATATATATATATATATATATATATATATATATATATATATATATATATATATATATATATATATATATATATATATATATATATATATATATATATATATATATATATATATATATATATATATATATATATATATATCTATATATATATATATATATATATATATATATATATATATATATATATATATATATATATATATATATATATATATATATATATATATATATATATATATATCTATATATATATATATATATATATATATATATATATATATATATATATATATATATATATATATATATATATATATATATATATATATATATATATATATATATATATATATATATATATATATATATATATATATATATATATATATATATATATATATATATATATATATATATATATATATATATATATATATATATATATATATATATATATATATATATATATATATATATATATATATATATATATATATATATATATATATATATATATATATATATATATATATATATATATATATATATATATATATATATATATATATATATATATATATATATATATATATATATATATATATATATATATATATATATATATATATATATATATATATATATATATATATATATATATATCTATATATATATATATATATATATATATATATATATATATATATATATATATATATATATATATATATATATATATATATATATATATATATATATATATATATATATATATATATATATATATATATATATATATATATATATATATATATATATATATATATATATATATATATATATATATATATATATATATATATATATATATATATATATATATATATATATATATATATATATATATATATATATATATATATATATATATATATATATATATATATATATCTATATATATATATATATATATATATATATATATATATATCTATATATATATATATATATATATATATATATATATATATATATATATATATATATATATATATATATATATATATATATATATATATATATATATATATATATATATATATATATATATATATATATATATATATATATATATATATATATATATATATATATATATAATCAAGACATATTTCAAACTTGCAGCTGATGTAGTACAGATATTTTTACAACACAGATTTGTTTTGAAAAAATTAATCAGTTTTAAAACTAGTATAACAGGTGAACCTACACATTCAGCCAGAACATCTCCAACATCATCAATCTTGAGGAGTGATGCCTTCTGTTTGTTGCAATTCTGATGCATAGTGTGCACGGTGTTAACATGAGATGCCTTGGCCCCCGTTACCAGAAGAGTTTCTACTGACAGCTTGGACTCCAGCTTCCCCGAGAGATCAGATCGCCTGTAAAATCAAAAACACTGTTTTGTATTCCTAGGTCAACCTAATCACAATGTGGCTTTCCTCTTGTGGTGCTAGGTATTAAAACTTGATGGTCTACATAACTTAGAAATACTTAAAAAATATCTATATATTTATCATATTGAGAGATAGCATTCACATTAATATAAGAAGCAACATAGTGTGTGTTAGTTCTGTTTAGAACTCCAAAATTCTGTTTGTATCTCATTTTGAATGGATGTAATTTTACCTGTATAAACATTGTTATTATTATTATAGAAAAGGTAAAGATTAACTTCTGTAATTAATAATTATTTCCTATTAGCATCAAGACAAAACTATCACATGACTATTATTACAGTATTATTACAGAACACTAATGTATTTAATATCGTACCTGACTTGCACGACTACAATCACTTACGTGTTGCCACACATTAAAATGCTTTGACAGACAATGCCTCGTCTCCTGTTTAGCTCTACTAAACATCATCGGGATATACACAGCGAGAGGTATAACCCATATATTGGCATATATACACTGGAAGTTTATTTAAGTAATGTAGTACTTTGTTCATGGCCATAGTATACTTGTTGAATGGGGAGTAAGCTCTTGTGGTGGCCTTGATAACCTTCCGACAGCCGACAGACCACATGACCAAGCCAAACGTAGCTTTTTTTTTATCCAGATGAAATATAATCCAAGGCTAGAATTCACTAAGCACTTACAATTCCTGTTTTGCTTATCTGGGTCATGGAGGCTTAGTCTGTATTTACCAAATAATTATGAGCTGTTAGAGTGTTACAATGTTATTCTCATCCCATGGTTGTTATTATCATGGACGACCTTGGTATGCTGTATAGAGAGATTATAAAGTGTTTAGTAAATATAGACTAAGTCACCATGAACGAGATAAGAGGTACAGATATCTCAATTGAACAAGTAAACGCTGTACTTTGCAAGGAGAAAAAATGGTCCTAATCCATTTCTTTTATTCCACACAGCTGAATTTCCATATACCAAGTATTTCAGGCATATGTGTGTACATTTTCCTCCCTATTTAATTTATTAATTTATTCAAAAATCTAATTCCTATTTTCTTGCATATTTCCTCCCCAAATCCCTTTTGAATTGTCTTGCTTCAAAGTCCATTATACAGTACATGTACTAATTTAACATCTGCTCTGGTTGAGTCTAAACATAACAAATGGCCTTTTCAAGCATAAATTATATTCCAGGCTAAGGGCATTTTCTTATTTACCATGCCAAAATGTCACGTGCATGAGTTAAAATCTGCAACACTTGCAATGTTTACTGTAACTGGGTGTTTTTTACAAATTTCTCTTATATATATACTTTGTTTCTCTTAAACTTCTTAATTTCATAGTTTAATCACTCCCTTAAAGATTCATTTGGGTGAAAGATGACTGAGAATTATCACAAGCACAGAGAAGTGTGAAGGAAGCAATTAAGGAATAAGTGAAGGATGAAGGAAACAAATGAAAGTGCAATGAAAAATGAAGTTGATGGTAGAAGTGAAAGAAATAGTTGAAGGTAGCAGGTGAAAGAAACCATTGAAGGAAGCAGAAAAATAAGAAACTCTTACTTGAGGAAAGCCTCCACGTATCTACGGAGGTTCTTAGGGTTGATCTTACTCTGGAGGCGGTCCTGGTACTCCTTGATGAGACGTTCCTTATTCTCGGCTGAGTCCAGTTGCTGTGAGAGGGGGGATATAGAGGTCACTTATGCCCTTCTCCTTTGCACATTGATTATGTATCAGAAGCCGTATGTATATGGAACGTCACTTAACTAATTTAGGAAACTTAGAAAGCTTTTAATGTAATGTTCTGATAGATGTAAGAGTGTACTTTTATGTACATGAAGTCTTGATTTTTATTTATAACTTTTGTTGACTAGTTTTATGTATAATTATTTGTACATTTGTATTGTAAATTTGATTATGAAAAAAATATATACAAGAATTGCAAATACTGTATGTTATTCATTAGGTATAATAGTTATATTGAATAGAGAATTATTAATTTATTAAGTGTTTAATTTTTTGAGAGATGAGTGTGTTAAGGTTATGTAATCAGGAGGAATAACTTCTTTTTTTAAACTGATAAAAGAAACCGTTTATGTGTTGATATTTTTCACCTGTCTGGTGCATAAAGTGCAAGTATCTATGATAAATTATTGTAAACTGGTGATTACAGTGAAGAATTTAGTATTGTTATAAATGGTTAAAAAAAGTATAGCCTTAGAATAACTGTTCCTGTGTATCTGCTGGCATTAAAATATACTGTACTGCAAAAATAATGATAGAATATACTGTACAGTACTTTACTATTTATTTACAGAGCATAAAAAAAAAAATCCTAAAAATGGAAAACTAAACAAATCTCATAGCAGAACAGCCCTACTAATTTGATATAAGACCCAAATGCTAAAAATGTAATAAATAAATCAAACTGTCATGCAAGGTATTAATACTACACACTAATAATCCCAGAAAGGTATTGGCATTGACACACTTGTGACATGGGAATGGCATCCTTAACTTTCCTTTTGAGCAGAATGACTGATTGACATACTGTCATCCCCAAGTCAAAAGGTGTACGAAAAGTTTGTCTATGATACAACGTCTTTTATGATCTGAGTATTACTGTTTTTAAAGAACTTGAAATTTTCTATAAAAATTTGGAGTGTAACCATTGCAGGAGAAATGGTACTGTATGTTAGCACATACAGTATACAGTTGTTACCACAGACAAACATTTTCTGGATTAATAAGCATAAGTAAAAGATTAAGACACCCACTACACAACACTACACAATACCTCCATCAAGGTCTGGAAGCCGTCCAGTACAGTTGTGTACAGAGACGTGACAAGTTCGGAATTAAAGAGAGAGAATATTTTGAAATTAGAGTTTGTGAGTATTCACACAACACTGTACACTAACAGAGGGAGTATATGAGCTGTAGGTTACACAAATTTTCACAACCATAGATATCTTGTACCCCAAAATAAACTTTTGGTATGGCACAAGACATTCAAAGGCATTCCTTGAAAATAAAACTAAATATGCTACATAAACCATACGTGACATATCCGATAATATTGTCAATAATTTTGACATTCTGGTTTGTTCTGATGAAAAATTCATGGCATTGCTTCTACTGTATCGGATATGTATGGTACAGTAGTGTTTGTAAGCTATGGGGATGAGTACACAGGATACATGAGTACTTGAGTATAGGCCATCACTCCACAACATTAATGAGTCACTGAAAATAACTGAATTACACTTGTCAGCACATCAATAAAAGCATGATTCTCGGCATAATTAATATGTGAATTTTTAGAAGCACCTTTGTTTCTCCCACTGATAATAAATCTTAACCGTGCACAATAAAAATGTATAGTTTTTACCAATTACTGTTAAATATTTGACTCCTGTGAATAACAACATTAAGGCATTTGTAGTACATTCAACATTCTAAATTTAACCCCTATCTTGAACAAGATAGAAAATGGCTATCTGAACAGACAACAGAATTTGTAACATATTAAAATATTTCAAACCCAAAATTGAATGAAATTTTTAAATACAGTCAAAAACTCTTTGCACCAAAATCCTTAGGGTGAGGGCCTTCTAAAATAGGGATTTTCTTAGTCTAAGGAACACTCACTGAGCCACAGACCTAGCAAATGATTCAATATTTACACAACTGTCCAGTCCCAAGAATGGAAAGAAAAAAAAAGATTCACACACACACAAAAAAAAAATAAAAAAAAATAAATACCAAATAAATAATGAAGTAATATTAACTAAAAATAGTGTCTGTTTACAAACTGGAGGATGTTGACATCAGCACATCTCCTGTGCCAGGTAAGTACGACGGGCTCACCATAGCCCGGGCTGCTTGGAACGTTTTGTTCCAAATAGCTGAATCTAAAACACCACCACCAAATGGCTACCGGGGCAGCAGACAACATGCACCATCTATGAGCTTGTACCAACATTATCTCTCATACTTTCACTGTAACCACCACAAGGTGAAAGTGGATTACATTCTGGTACATTGTTACTATTATTGGCATGGCTTGGATAATACAAGTCTGTGAAAATCTCCAATACTTAATACTTAGTCATAGGGTTTTCAATACACAACAGATTCATGAGTTGGAAATGCACAGCAACAGATTCATAAGATGAACTGTGCAGCAGTAGATTCATGAGTTGAATTTCACAGCAACAGATTTTAAAAAGAGAACAGCTGATTTGTTCAATACATGTTAAACAATTTTAAAAGGAATGACTAGTCATAGGTACAGGATGTGTCCACCATCCAGTCCCCTCTATGCATGTGCGCGTTGCTAGCCTCATCTCCATGTATGTTCTTGTTAACACACACACACACTAATGGTTGTTCACCTAGCAGTAAATAGGTTCCTGAGAGTTAGACTGCTGCCATGAGATATTTCCTGGGGATGTGTTGTGTGTATGTATGTGTCTTTTTTTTTTCTGTGCGTGTTAGGTGTTTGACAGAAATATATGAAGTAGACATAATAGAGGAAAAATAGATTGGTTAGAAATATGGGGTCCAAGAGCTAATAGCTCGACTCTGCAGACACATATAGTAAATAGAAAACTCACACACAATGCTGTACACATACATGATATACAGACACATGCAATACACACACGCACGCACACACACGTCTCAATATAAGTCTACCATGTATGAATACACTCTGACTTCCTGTCCTCTGACACAATGAATTATTATATATAAAAAAGGGACACAGAGTTCCAATCTACAAAAGTGATAGCAAGGAATAAACTCTTAACTACAGACCTGGATCATTGACAAGTGTAGTAGCCAAAATATTTGAAAAAATAATTAAAACCAAAATGGGTAGAATCACCTGGAGAGAAACGATAAAATAATGGACAGTATGGTTTTTCGATCTAACCCATCTTAATAGAACGAGTTCTATTAGGAGGATGGCTCCTAATGACCAAAAATGGTAGCGGCTCACAAAATTTATATACTGTACTGTCCCATTTTCTGTTTTGGGTCCTGTGGTAAGCTAGGATAATTTCCAATTTCAGTTTTCAGATACATGTAATTTCAATTTCCAATTTCAGAATTGCTTTTAAATACATGGATGGTGAAATATTAAATAAATGATTAATGACCTTTGTGAGACCAAAGTTAGAATGCACAGCTGTTGTATAGTGCCCAGATCTCAAGAAAGACATCAATAAACTGGAAAAGGTGTAAAGACGCACAGGAAAATGGCTTCCAGAACTGAAAGAGCTATGAAGAGAGGTTAGAGGCATTAAATATGCCAAAGCTAGAAGACGGAAGAAAAAGTAGCAATATGATCACTATAGACAAGTTAGTAAAGGTATTCAACAAAATTGATAAAGACAAATTCTTGAAACATGGAACCTCAAGAACTAGAGGTCATCGATTTAAGCTTATTAAACAAAGCTGCCGAAAGAACATTAGAAAGATGACTTTTGCCCACTGAGTGGTAGACGGTTGGAACAATTTAAGTGAGAAGATGGTAGAGGCCAAAAACTGTCAGACATTTCAGAGAGTACTGAGTAGACAGGACACCACAAGTGTTGCTCTCATCCTGTAACTACACTTGGGTAATTACACATGCACACTCACTCACTCTCACACATTCACTCTCTCACTGTAGTGATGAAAGCTCACAAGAGAGAAGTGAAGAAAAAACATTATATAACAGGAAGTACCACAAGGCTTGAGAATGTCTAGAGATAATTCTTTGGGAAATACAACTCAGACAAAAACATAGCGAGGAAATGCAAGGAAGCTGACGGAACATTCATACTGCCACAAACGGGATAAAGGAACCAAGAAAAACATTTGCCATGGTTTGACAGGCAGTGCTTGAAGAAATAAACGAGAGTAAAAGAACACACATAAGAAACATCCTGTAGAAAGCACAGAACAGAGGAGAATCAAAACAAAATTGTGAGGAACTAATACACAGGAATTAAATAGTGCATTGAATTTTCATTACTGTAATGACATGGCAATGAAAACCTGGAACCAGCCTAGATTACTCCATTGCTATTGTGGGTATTTTCCTTTGTAATTTGCAATCACTGGCTAAAGAATCCTTGATTAGTATAAGATGGTTCCTGTTACTACAAACAAGGTACTATTAATGAGCAGGAACATTAGAATTGTCTTGGTATCCCCTCAGCTTCCCTAAGGGTCAGATAGCAGGAGTTTTACTGTATAGTATCTTGAACACAAACCCATTGAGCGGAGTAATTCAGGAACAGACTGTAGAGTTGGGAAGCACAGATGCAAACTTGTCTGCAATCTGTGTTGCCTCTTAAATACAATATGGAACAAAATTGTATGATACAGATTACAGTATATGCCAGATTTCCTGGTGTCAATTTTTTTGTATAGATTTTTAATGCCGAAAATTTTGGTACAAAGAATTTTGACTGTACAATATGTGGACAAATACTTCTCTGCACAGGGAAAAGTCTCAATTCCCATCATCTAATATTTAAATTTTTTAAATTTATCACTTGCATAGAGCAGACCCGGCTCTAAAAAGGATTTAATCCTCAACTCCTCTTCTACACTATTAGTTGGTAACCAGTCAAGTAATTTTTTTTTTTTAAGATTTTCATTATAAATTGATTTAAATTCATATATAATTTCATTAATCAGTTTCAACCAAAAACTTACTTTGTTTAATAAAATAATCTGTGCTTGTAACAGAACTAATGAGTATTAAGCATTCTATTTGCACCAAAATAAAGTACTTAATTATGTTTAATAAATCTACATTCTAAGCAATAAAGCATTGCATTAACCTTAAAATTGTAGTACAGTATACCCATCGATATATCATAATTTTGTATATAATAAAAGAATTGGTGATAAGCACACAAAAATCTCTCCATAAATTTACTGAACACAATACTACTAGTCTCAGTGACAAGAGTTCCTTGTAGAGCCGGGCCACTCCACTAATCCCAATAAGTCCTATTAGGTTGCTTCACAACAAAACAAAAAAATCCGAGAATCAAGCATGCAACAGCCTGTGAAAAAGAACATTTAATGTGAGTGTCACACCGATTCTTGACAACATATACAGACTGAGGGGAGATTGACAACTGCAGCAGCCGATGCAGTACCTGAGAGAGCATCTGGAATAGAAGTGAGACACAGCATCACCACACACCTTTCCACTAACATTATTCCACACCACTGACATAAACATTCAACGTGACGAGGGTTGCAAACGTTCAATAACGGCAGCATAATTTCCAGACATCGAAAATGTATCATATACTAATCTAACATTCAACAAGGGATAATAATTTGAGTGCTAAACATCTCAGTCATTTACTTGAATTTACCTAGCTGGATACAGTAGAGTATCTCTATATTGAACACCCATTAACCAAATTCACCTATAAACTGAGTAGATTAGAATGTGTGTAAGTAAATTTAAGAAATCCCAATGAAGTGTTTATTCTTGGTGCAACACATTGTTATCTGCTGGTGAGGGGGGCTGTGTTTCCCACCCCTTCATTGTTATCTGCTGGTGAGGGGGGCTGTGTTTCCCACCCCTTCATTGTTATCTGCTGGTGAAGGGGGGCTGTGTTTCCCACCCCTTCATTGTTATCTGCTGGTGAGGGGGGCTGTGTTTCCCACCCCTTCATTGTTATCTGCTGGTGAGGGGGGCTGTGTTTCCCACCCCTTTCATTGTTATCTGCTGGTGAGGGGGGCTGTGTTTCCCACCCCTTTCATTGTCATCTGCTGGTGAGGGGAGCTGTGTTTCCCACCCCTTCATTGTTATCTGCTGGTGAGGGGGGCTGTGTTTCCCACCCCTTCATTGTCATCTGCTGGTGAGGGGGGGCTGTGTTTTTGGCCTTCTAACTATTAAATTGCCACCATGTATGAGTGGGTAAGTATGCCCTCATAATGACTACTCATCACTATCCAGTGATGAGTGTACTAATGTGAGTGTTGCAACATGCAAAATATGTCATTTTCCATTAATTAATGTAAAATGTTATTTGTGTATAAAATATATACAAGTGTGCCAGTGGGAGTAGTGAGGAGCAGCTTAGCCCACCACTGATGACTTATAGAGGCAACTTCACATATTCCTGACATCTAAGATTGAAGGTGACTAACAAAGTAATTTCTTGCCTGGCAGGAAAGCTTGCTTTGTGTTAGGATAGGATATGTTGGTTTATGGATACAGTATCATGATAAAGATGAGAGATAGTTGTAGCTATGAATCATGTTGTAGACATGTATAATTTGATAGCTATGTATCATGTTGTAGATATGTATCATGTGGTAGCTACATACCATGCTGTAGACATGCATCATGTAGCTACATATCATGTGGTAGACATGTATCATGTTGTAGTTATAATGAGATAAGATAGCTGGGTAAAATATGCTATCCGGGCGGGATAAGAGAGTGCATGAGTGGTGACACAAACAATGCCACTCACCCCTCCCCTCGTACTTTAATCTTCACATCACTGTCTCTTACATTCAAATGAAATAAATACTAATATTCAAAACATTCATTTATATTATAAATTTGTAGAATCTTGCATATAAATTCTGTTAATAAAATATTTAGAGATACAGTACTTCACTGTATAAGGCTAATTAGAAAACACTGTTTTAATACATACAAAAAATAACCTGAACGTTCTAATAACACTTAAAAACTGTCAGTCATAAATTACACATTTTCAGAGATTTATTGAAAATTTGCAATTATTGTTTACTTAGAATAGTTCATCGCAGACACCTTTATGGTGTCGTAAAGCTTTGATTAATGTTTCATTATTTAATATTTAATCTGGAAAACAAAGCACTGATTAAGTAAAGTATCATTTGTTGGGTATCTTCCATGTGTTATGTGTTGAATATGTACCATGTGTTATATGTTGGGAATATATCATGTGTGTTACATATCTATTATATGTAGCATTTGATACAAACACATGATATAAATGTGAAGCATTTGTATCATGTGTTGCATTTGTATCACATGCTGCGTGTGTCGCACAAAGATGCTACAGAGAATGATTGCACAATAAGGCATCTAGATTAATGAGGTCTACACCCCATGTACCTGGAGCATGAATAGGCCTGTAAAGTCATATGTGCCTGTCAGTGTGTGTGCGCGTGCTTTACTGTAAATCCAAACAAAAATATTACAAAAATTGGAATAAAAATGTAATAAATGTTTTATTATGTAGGATTCAGAACTTTTGCAATTTGTTTTTTTACTCTGATGGTTATTTAGGCACTGACACAGTGTTGGCTTCACCATGGAAACAGACCACCAAATAAAGCCTCTCCACATCTATTCCCTGGACCAGTTTAGCAACAATAACCCTCCGGCATCTTTCAGAACTTATGACTCGCCTCCAGAGAGTGTTTTTTTGATTGAAACTTTCATACTTGGAAGGATGTAAACTTTATATTAAGCACTCTTTGTCTAAGATCCCCCCCCCCAAAAAAAAAAAAACATATGATGCAACTGATTACCTCTAAAACTGATGCTTTAAGAAAGCATTGGAATCTTCGACAAGCTGCTGGCTTCCTGGTATTGTCGAGGCCACTAGTGATAGTGACTCTCAGGTAAACTCAGGTAAAAGTACATGGTAAGAGTCCATATATGCATTAAAATATTCTATATGTATGTAGGTTACCAATATATCTCTGGCAAAATATTTTGTTGCTAAAAGTGCCTTAAAAGAACCCAAATACTTTAACAGAGGTTCTAAAATATTGGAAAAATTTCTCATATTCCTCAGCAGCGTCATCACCAACACTAGGCTCCTGTGATCACCAACACTATGCTTCTGTGACCACAAAAATATCACATCATTTATACAGCAAATCAGTGGGAGAAATCTTCAAAGTGCCATTGGAAATAAAGCAGCCTGGACACAGTATTTAACGAACATTGCCTGCATATCACAGTTCATACCCTCATCAAACGGTGAAACAGGAGACCTTTCGAAACTTACGTGTCCAAATTTGTGGAAGATGAGATATTGTTCAGCCGTTGGGTGCATGCCGACGTTGTTCAATTTCCACGAGATGATCTGCAAGATACTTACACAGTCAGTCATGCATCATAAGGTCACTGTTACAACACAGGACATTAGACAATAGAGCAGGCATTACAGCCACTGTCAAGGATTTTTTAGGATAAGAAGATGTAAATGAAATTCAAGAATGCACAATATACACCTGCCTTTATTCGGTAAGATGTTCAGAGGCTGGAAACCTTCGCATACATACATTATCGGCCCGGAAGGTTGTCGACAGGTGGGGCTGGAAGGTTGTGTCGACAGGTGGGACTGGAAGGTTGTGTCGACAGGTGGGACTGGAAGGTTGTGTCGACAGGTGGGACTAGAAGGTTGTGTTGACAGGTGGGACTAGAAGGTTGTGTTGACAGGTGGGACTGGAAGGTTGTGTCGACAGGTGGGACTGGAAGGTTGTGTCGACAGGTGGGACTAGAAGGTTGTGTTGACAGGTGGGACTGGAAGGTTGTGTCGACAGGTGGGGCTGGAAGGTTGTGTCGACAGGTGGGGCTGGAAGGTTGTGTCGACAGGTGGGGCTGGAAGGTTGTGTCGACAGGTGGGACTGGAAGGTTGTGTCGACAGGTGGGACTGGAAGGTTGTGTCGACAGGTGGGACTGGAAGGTTGTGTCGACAGGTGGGACTGGAAGGTTGTGTCGACAGGTGGGACTGGAAGGTTGTGTCGACAGGTGGGACTGGAAGGTTGTGTCGACAGGTGGGACTGGAAGGTTGTGTCGACAGGTGGGACTGGAAGGTTGTGTCGACAGGTGGGACTAGAAGGTTGTGTTGACAGGTGGGACTGGAAGGTTGTGTCGACAGGTGGGACTGGAAGGTTGTGTCGACAGGTGGGACTGGAAAGTTGTGTTGACAGGTGGGACTGGAAGGTTGTATTGCCAGGTGGGATTGGAAAGTTGTATCCCCAGGTGGGACTGGAAGGTTGTGTCGACAGGTGGGACTGGAAGGTTGTGTCGACAGGTGGGACTGGAAGGTCATATCGACAGGTGGACTGGAAAGTCGTTTCGACAAGTGGACTGGAAGGTTGTGTCGACAGAGGTGTCAGAGATCTTGAGTGGTGATGAAGAGACACAGACACAAGATACAAAGATTTAGCGGTCCCCTTGGCGCAGTAGTAAAGCACTTGCCCGGCACTTTGCGAGCACTTTGGCCTGGGTTCGTATCCTGGCCAGGGGAGGATTGACTGGGCACTGTAGCCTTGTTAAAAGGTTAACAGGTTGTTACACGATTTGGTGGGTCGTATTCCGGGGAACAATTAGGATTAAGGACTTGCCCGAAATGCCATGCATGCTAGTGGCTTTACAAGAATGTAACAATACCAATCTTATGTAATCTCACCAACCCATTGTATCTTCTTGTGAATATTATTATTATTATTTACTATTATTTATTATTATTTATTATTATTTATTATTATTATTATTATTAATGCAGGCTAAGTTAGGCCAACAATTAATACAAATACAGGCTAAGTTAGACCAAAAGTTGATGGCTTAAGTTATCTAAGTTAGACCGTCAACTAATGGTCTAACTTAATATGGGCTAAGATAGACCAGCAGTTGATATGATGAAAAGCTAAGGAGACATAGTAGTGGTAAGAGAAAAGGAAGATGAATGCTAACTAGAGATAAGACAAAGCAACACTGAAGTTACTCAAGATAAGAGAGACAAAGAGAAGACAGTGCAGGATGCCGGGGACATGAAAGGTTCATTAGGGACCAAGTTAGGAGAGGGATAACAAGCAATCCAACACTCCTGCAATCAATTAACCTTTTTTGGCACCCAAGGAAATTGTGTCGAGAATAGAGAGAGATAAGGAAGAGGAGAAAGATATTGGCCAACGTTAAAGAATGGCTGAAGAACTGAATATAAAAAAAAACACTTGGCAAATTACATACGAAATGGAAAACATGAGTTTGAGAATCACATAGAAATGAAAATCATTTCAAGTAGCACTAAAATTTTAGAACAAATACCCCAAAAAAAAAATGAAATTTATGACATACAACATAGTTGATCAGAAGAGGCCGAACGGGAAATGGGAAAAAACGTATAAGAATCTAGAGAAGGCAATAACTGAAACAGAGAAACAGTTTTAACCAGGGAGAAAGCCAAGAGACTCAGGGCTGGTCAGACGATGCATTGCTTGGCTTAAACGAGAAACTTTTAACGTAGTTCCGTATCACGAGATGTATCCAGGACATGAGAATATATAAAAGGAAAGAAATGTTTACTGTTCAAGCGTAAACGATGAATACCCCCCCCTCCCTCACAAAGAAAAACATGCGCACCAAATCTAAAGACTTTGATCATACTGGAGGAGCATCACTAGCCAGGTCTTGCCAGTGTTAGATCATACTAACACATTAGATTATTGATCATAATTCAACAGTTTTCTTGACGGCAAACTTTAGGAGGACAGGCTGGGTGCTCAAACAAAAAGAACAGCTGACTTCTCTGGGAGAAAATAAAAAAGCAGGAACAGTAATAATATGGACACTACTGAACATAACTTCCAAGTATATCAACAGGAAAGGGAAAATATCAAAATGTGATAAAGTTGCCACTTCAAGAGAACCAGAGACAAATCTAAAGCAGGTAAACAAGAGGTAAAAGACGGGTGTGGGAAAGTATTTATTCTCAAGAGTTTTGGTTGGCTGCACGAAGACCATAAATAAATTTATGGTTTATATAATAATTGGACATTGTAAAACTGGACAACACGAATCTAAGCTCTACCTTTTAAACAACGGGCTCTGTCTTGTAAACAATGGGCTCTATCCTGTAAACACTGGGCTCTATTTGCAAACAAACAGGTAAACACACACATGCACATAAAATATTAAATATAAATAACTTATGTGTGAAAATGAATGCATTATTAAAGATACTAATAATTATTTTGTCATATACTTTTGCGATATATCACAAAGAAATATGAAATGCATTGTTTAAAAAGGATCATAAGAGCAATACATTGTAATAAGTTTCTAAATATAACCTGGCCAACCTCAGTAAAGGAACTTAGTGCCATTAAGACTGAGAAAAGTGTCCATCAGGCTACTGACTATTGTAACTTTGATACAAAAGTTCTTGCACATACTTTTGGTCCACTAATGCATGTGTTATTTGTTGCTAAGTGCTGTCTTCCCCATTAAAAACAAGAAAGTTGCCGTAATCTGTGTAAACACTCTATGCAAATAAAGGGACCCAGTTTATGGAACTCACTCCCTACTGAATTGAAAAGCTGTCCAACTTTTACATCATTCAAAATCAATACTAAAAAGTACCTAATTTCATCTTCATAGTTTTTCACTTTTTTGCCTTAAAATTGCATTGCAATTGCTACCCAATCTCCCAACCTTTATGTTCCCAATTTGAACATCTTTACCATTGTGATCATAGCTGTTTTCTTATATGTGCTGCCAATCTGTTGTATGGTGTTTATAAATCTTGTTTATCTGTATCTTTTGCTACCCAGTCTCCCAATCTTTTTGTACCCAATCTGAACCTCTTTACCATTGTGATCATTGCTGTCTTATATGTGCTGTCAATCTACTGTATGGTGTCTATTAACCTTGTTTAAATTACTAATCAAGCTGTCAATGTAATCAATCAGAGCTTTAATATAACAATGTGCTTTAATATACCTACTTATCTCTCTCATCTCATTTTTCTCTTGTAATGTATCTTTATCATTTATCAATTCTGATTGAAATTACCTACTTAAAATTATCTGCTAGTTTAAGGACCTGCCCGAAACGCTGTGCGTACTAGTGGCTTTACAAGACTGTAAATACTGTACTATCCAATGTATTCTCACAAACCCAATGTACCTTCTTGTATATATATAAATAAATAAATAAATAAATAAATAAATAAAAGTCATGGCAAACATAGGCAGTAAAATGTATTCACTTAAATTTAATCAGTATGAAGGTGCAAGGAGACTACTGTTCAGTTGTAATAGTAAAGGCCACCTTGGCTCGCTGATGAGGAGGAGTTTCAGTATTATTTTCAGTTTCAGTAGAGTTCAATAAGTCAGTTAAGTTAGAAGGTGTACCGTATATTGGGTGATTGTCTTCTTCAGTGAGATTAACCCCGCATACCTATAGTTTAGTGAAGAGTTATTTAAAATTTGTCATGGTCATTTTAATACATGCAATACCGTTTAAGCTTATGTAACCCCTGTGCATTGATATATACAGTACATGGCAGCATTTATATCATTTATTTTTCATCAATACATTCAATACATGGCAGTATGCATATTGCCATGTAATTACCAGTAATATACATGACAATAGGCATATCAACATGCACAATGAAATCACAATAACATGATATATCTATGATAGCAGGATGGGAGAAGGAACCAGCGCCCTGGGGGTCTATTCAGATGCACGCCTGGGATTTGATCGCTGTACCAACCCGCCCTCCTAATAGAGCATCGCATTTTGACGTATACTAGGTTATTAGGTGAGTACTCTTCCCAAAGCCAAAAATCGGCGTACTAGAAAATGGTAGCGGCTGGCGAAATTGACATACTGTCCCGTTCTCTGTTTTGGGTCCTCTGGTAGGTTAGGATAAGGGCACTTTAGTACGACAGTTTCTTGACGTTGGGAAACCTTAGGAGGACAGACTGTTCCTGCACCAAAGATTTTCTCACATCATCATGTAATTACCAACCATATACAGGAGAGCATCCCCCACTATGTCGTACCTTGTCCTTGAAGTGTTCCATGACTCCTGCAGTGGTGGAGGTGCAGTGGATGAGGACGAGGCCCATACAGCGTTCATGGTAAGCCATACCGAACCTGGCCAGGATGTTGGCTCCAGCGCCTTCGCCCAGGCCGATCACCAGCTTGACCTTGGTGTGGTCCAGCACACACACCAGGTCCTCGGCGATCATCTGCATCGTCGGGAATGCGTAGCTGAGGAAGACACACACTAATTATAACAAGAAAAGGAGACACAGCAAATATCACAGTTAGCATGATAGCAAAAGTAGAATTGATGCATCAGTGGGAACATTTGGTACCTGGTTGTTAAATGATTTGGCGGGTAGTATTCCAAGGAAAATTAGGTTTGAGGACCTGCTCAAAATGCTATGCGTGCTAGTGGCTTTACAAGAATGTACGAACCCTTGTATGTATATTTAAGCTTTGGATTCCGGAAGCTGTCGAACTCAATTGATAGAGCGTCGGTTATTTGAGAGTAAGCGTGTGTGGTATAGTAACTAGCTGTGCCACCCCCCTTCCCCATACACACTGTGTAGAGGGTGCCAGAGAGCGAGAGAAGGGGGGGGGGAGATATGGAATGAGGATCCTGATTAGATTTGATGAAATTTAAGCTCCCTAGCTAAGCGCTTGGTCAAGATTGACTATTAAGTGAAGAAATGGAGGAGAGGCTCAGAAGGGAATGGGTTCAAAGTAAGGGGGGGTATTAGGAGGGGGAAGGGTTCAGAGGGGAGAGGGTTTCGAAGGGGAAGAGGTTCGGAAATGGTAGGGAGAGTTGAAAAAACAAGTAGCAAGTGGCCACCTCAAGGTGTGGACGCTCCCCCTGGCTGCATGTGTCCGTTCATCACTTCAAGCCGATATTAACAGTGTTCGATTGGGCATCAGCAAATAACATGATGTTTAAAATTATAAGTTCCACGTGCTTAGGAATGGTAAAAATGAAGACCTTAAACAAAATACAGGATACAAAACACAGTCAAATCTGCCCATAGTAGGAAAGTACCATCTATAGGATCTAGAAATAATGATGTCTGACGATCTAACGTTTAGGGAGCATAACCATGCAAATACAGCCTCAGCTGGGAAAAATGATAGGATGGATTATGAGAACCTTCAAATCCAGGGATCCCATCACAATGCTTAAAGCATTAAAATCACTGGTGCTGTCCCGTTTGAGTACTTCTCCATACTCACTTCCCCCTTTTCAGAGCAGGTGAGATTGCTGAAATGGAATAAAGAGAACATATGCGACACCTATACGTAAGATAAAAAGCACCTAAACTATTGGGAGCGTCTCAAAGCTCTCAAAATATACTCTTAAATAGTCTCTAGAGTATTTTATGTATTCTAAAGACAAATGGAAATAGAAAACTGTTCTCTAGACAGGAAACTAGAGGGGGGAGACGACTCTCACAAGTCATACATGGTCCTGGACCGGACTTGGGGGAGTAGAAGACCTCCCAGAACCCCATCCAGGTACAACCATGGACACACCTCCACGGTCTTACTGTTATACACTGGTCTAACGAGTTTAAACTCTCCCACTCGTGTGTGAGGGAGTGCTGGTTAACCCTCACACCAACACTCCCTCCCTCCTCACGCGACTGTGAAGGAGTACTGGTGAGTGACCCTCACACTAACCCCCCCCCCCCTCATCCCTCCTCACGCGACTGTGAAGGAGTACTGGTGAGTGACCCTCACACCCCCCCCCCTCCCTCGACTGTGAGGGAGTACTGGTGCATGAAATAACCGTTGATGGTAATTCCCAGCGCCCACGAGAACTGGCACATCAAACAAGGCGACGGGAAGTGGTTTCCAGTTGATATAATTCATTTTTCATATCAAAATAGGAATTCAAGACAAAGTTATTGACTTCTAAGAAGTCAATTGCAGCAATTACCGAAAATAGACCAAACTGTCTTGTATACTGAACCTTAAAGAGAATATAATTTCTTTTACAGTTGATAACACCTCTAGCAATTATGACAAAAAATTATTTTGCGAAAACGTTTTCTATCAAATGCAAATATTTATTAAAACTAATGACATTTCCCCTGAAATGCATATTTATATGCCTGAAAAAATTCATCTAAAAACCTGTCACATTGAAAATAGTGAAATGATGTAAAAAAAAAAAAAAGCAACATTTTTCAACACTGAAAAGATCATATGAATTAAGCCAATGTTTTTGTCTTCCCAACATTGAAATATTTTTGAGGTTTCCTTCTATAAGACGAGTTCTTCATCTACAAGATGGCCTCATCAAGATGACTACTACAACATTGCTTCTACAAGATGTTTCTATGATTTCTATAATATGACTTCTGAAAGATGACTTTTCAAGATGGCTTCTACAAGAGGAATTCTACAAAATGGCTCTTCATATCTAAGCTGCTCTGCCTTCACGGTTGTATTGGCCAACAATCAAAACATGTCATTAAGCAAAGCAAAGATAACACCAATAAAATTAATTGGGATTAGGATTAATTAGGATTTTTATTAAGATGGAGAGAAAAAACATGGATGATAAATACGTTTGGCAATAACTTCACATTAATCAACACCAGAACTTTTCCTATATGCTTAAAACATTTATGAATTTAATTATCCAAACTTGACATTATTAATTCGTTGAATGTGGCACAACTTAAAAAAAAAACATGCAATTGTGAATACCATAATAAACTAATTACGAAACAAAATCGTCTGTAAATATGTTGCCAGTAGGCTTAAGAGGTTATTAAAGTTTCTTAAGCATCAAACACAAAGAAATATTCTTATTTTTTTGTGAAAGAGGCATTGCAAACTTTCACAATAAATTGTTATCGATTTTACAAAATGGTGCATTTTGTATTTAAAGAATGAATATTTCACTATTGTAGATGTTATTAATTAAAAACGAAATGTGTTCAAATTAAATCGAATTAAGATATTACTTGACGAGGCTGACAGTACAAAACATTTAATTAAAGAAAATTACTCAACTTTCTGTTAAAATGTTAATAAGGCCTAAAAGCAATGCTGTGTTGGACGGCATCGCTTCCTTAATGACTAATATTTAGACACGGCAGTATGGTTACGTGTCTCCCACGACCCTCATAACGACAAGGTATCCCCCCTTCCTCACGCCACACCCTTTCTCCTGAATGTGTTACCCAACACCTTCAAAGAACATCTTTATGGCTGTTAAGAAGGCCGGACGCTGTAGGAGCACACACTGGGCGCGAAGCCACGCCAGGAGCACACACTGGGCGCGAAGCGACGCCAGGAGCACACACTGGGCGCGAAGCGACGCCAGGAGCACACACTGGGCGCGAAGCGACGCCAGGAGTACACACTGGGCGCGAAGCGACGTCAGGAGCACACACTGGGCGCGAAGCGACGCCAGGAGTACACACTGGGCGCGAAGCGACGTCAGGAGCACACACTGGGCGCGAAGCGACGCCAGGAGCACACACTGGGCGCGAAGCGACGCCAGGAGTACACACTGGGCGCGAAGCGACGTCAGGAGCACACACTGGGCGCGAAGCGACGCCAGGAGCACACACTGGGCGCGAAGCGACGCCAGGAGTACACACTGGGCGCGAAGCGACGTCAGGAGCACACACTGGGCGCGAAGCGACGCCAGGAGCACACACTGGGCGCGAAGCGACGCCAGGAGTACACACTGGGCGCGAAGCGACGTCAGGAGCTCACACTGGGCGCGAAGCCACGCCAGGAGCCTCCGCCCATCCTCCAGGAGCTGACACTGGGCGCGAAGCGACCCCCGCAGCCTCCGCCCGAAGCTTCCGCTCACACAACGCTCACGCCAGGAGAGGAGGTGGAAGCCCTGCATGACTCGAGCAGGATAACCATTCAGTAATGATCTCCAGTGAGTAAAATGTTAAACAAAATACAAACCACGAAATAACTGGCGTCAGGGGACAAGTCCCCCCCCCTCCCACACACCAAACCCTTCCAGCTTAAAGCAAACTTCTTGACCTGATTCTAAATTCGGTCGCCAGGGGGCCTACACCACCCACCTGCGATAAGAACCTTCATGTTACCCCGCGTACGTAAGTGTCGCAAGCTGTGCAAGTCGAGACGCTTGACCAAGAGTTTGCTGCACGGAGACCACGAGAAGAGAAGCAAAGAAAATGATCCCAAGGAAATATTATAAGGAGTTCCTGCCGAAAATACGCAAGTAATTAAAGCAGACGGTACGAATGCACAGCCATGAATAGGTAATCACACACACACACACACACACACGCACACGCACACGCACACACGCACACACACACACACACACACACGCACACACGCACACACACACACACACACACACGCACACGCACACGCACACACGCACACACACACACACTAGAGAAGAGCGGGCGGGCGGGGTTGGACACAAGGCCCTGACGCCTTTAAGCCAGTAACGATGTGGAGGGCGGCCGGCCCGCCCGCCGCCCCTCCCATTCTACTCTGCCACCCGCCCGCTCCTCGCCCAATCGATGCGGACTCTCGGCCCACATTTTGGACATGGCTACTAAGGTACCCTTCTCTCAAGCGGGTACTCTTTGACGTCTCTTGAAAGCGTCAAAGAGACGTCTCTTGGAGGCGTCAAAGAGACGTCTCTTGGAGGCGTCAAAGAGACGTTACTCTTCTACTCGAGTAGAAGAGTAAAGATTATCAAGACCAAGATCGTCCTGATCATCTTGACGATCTTGGAGACGGAATGTCTAATTGAAGAGCTATGGAGCATCTTAGATTGTCAAGAGACATTCCAGAGGAGGGTGATTAAGAATAATTTTTTCTTCTAAGAGCATATGGGGCTTTCAGGATTATTTAAGATGGGTGAGTCATTCCCCAAGACAATTGGGTCAGGTCACAGGTTACACGAGAGAGAGTTATTAGAAGGGTACATATATGGCTGTTGTAATGGGTCATGTCACATATGTGCATACCGGGAGAGGGTACCGGGAGTTCTTCTACTCCCCGAGTCCGGCCTGGGACCAGGCTCGACTTGTGATAGTTTGGTCCAACAGGCTGTTGCTTGGAGCGGCCCTCAAGCCCACGTATCCACTAAAACCTGGTTGGTCCGGCATCTAGTTTGAGTCATGACGAATACACCCAGCTTGGGTCACGTCACCTGTACACCCAGCTTGGTCACAGGCGGCGTAAGTCCCGACTAAGTCCCTGGCGGCGTAGACCGCCCGAGGGAAGCGGAGATATTGA